GAGTAATATTGACCAATTAAGAGTTCCCTGTCTGGTTGGAGGACTCTCTGGGCTTGCATCCTGCAAATTATCCACAACAGAGGGCTAGCTGGGACCCCGGTTGGTTAGAACTACTGTTAGGAACCATGATTATCTTTTTTTCCAAACCAGTAAGAGCCGTGGTTACTAATAAATGGCACTTGATCTTTGCATACCACTCTCATGCTTTCACCACACAGTGTCCTGCTGCCCAGGACCTGCTGTGGTTATCCATCAGTACAGAAAGATGTTCAACCTTGTAGTGTGTACCTGAATTGTTTAGGCGGGAACCAATGCCACCAGGTGCTGCATCTTTCCCTATTGCTTGGGGGGAGAGTTCCTGGTATTGAGGTCGCCATCAGCATAAGGAGAGGGAGTAACTGAATAAATAAAAGTGGCAGGGAGAAGTATGATGAAGTAACATACCTCCAAGTTCTGGTCAACCAGGCCAGCAACTCCAGTTACTGCAAAGAAAGCAAAAAGGCAGTTTCTGCCCTTGATGGATAAGAAATTAACCTTAGGAACAATTTTCCAAGGATCAGGGTGGATTCTCCATCATGGCAATTTCTTAAATCAAGATTTGGATCTTTTTTGGAAAGAGATGTTCTAGGAATTGTTTTGGGGAAAGTTCTATGACCTGTTATACAGAAAGTTGGACTAGACAATCACAGAGGTCCCTTCTGGACATAGAATCTATGAAAAGAAGAGGAGAATCAGTCAGCTCCATCAATATTTTTGATATTGACCTCAAATGCTATAACTAAAGATGTATAAAGCTAGTACACATAATACTTAAGAGCTTTACTGTACTACTTTTCATGATGATGATTCCTGGCATACTGTAGTTCCTGTCCTGGTTTGGACGATAATGAAGGGACAGAAGTGAAATAAAATATGCCTTGTCACAAATGGATGCGGCTTGGCAACCATCCTTTCCTCTCTGCTGAAGCTGTATTTAGGTTCCCCAAATAAACTGACAACCTGCAAAGGCCCTGCTGTGTAAGTAATAAGATTAGACAGCTGTTGTGTGGGGCAAAGGAAGTCTCTCAGAAGTGTTACTATTGCAGCTATTTAGTTCTAAGAGCATATGCTCAGTACAAGCCAAACAGGCCTGGTAGATCATGTTCAGTGTTTCTCACTCTTGCATGAATCTGTGCTATCCTCTATAACTTAATGATTTAAATATTTGTAGCAGAGGTGTATGATGATGCTGCTTCCATAGATCTGGTCCATTGTTCTCTTTAGACATAGAAACCATTTAAATGCTCAGAATTTAATGTTGTAAATGGTAGTTGGTTTTGTGTTAATATTACATATTTGGAGTCTATGCAAAATTCTTACTTACCTTCAATATATGAATAACTTACCATATTTAAAAAAACTACTCAGTGGAGGCATCAAGATGTACACGCACCCTAAGCGAGTAAGTACCTGAACATATTGTAACCTATGACCTTCCTCATCCCATTCCCAACTACGATTAAACTAAAACCTTATTGATACTGAACTGGGTTTAATCATTATTTTTGTTTTGTTTTGTTTTTTGGCAGGGGAACATAGAGGGAGAAGAGGGAAAGTAGGGAGTCAAGCTGAGTGAAATATTTCTGTTTGGGTACAGTGATGTTGTTTGATTAGAGTATGACCCTGCAAATCATTGTTGCTACCACTGTTATATAATTGCAATGAATCTTGCACAAAGTGTGATGCATGGCCAGAAAGGGTTAAGCAGCTTTGCAGGCTAATTGACCCGGATTCAACCCTTAGGGACATCTTGTTAGATTTTTTTTTGGTTTTGTGTGTTTACATATATATTGTTAGAGGTTAACAGTGTAATCAAACAGTCCCTGTCTGTGCTGTATTCTGTTAATTCAGAGATCAGAAAGACGTTTTAAATGCACTGTAAACAGAGTATTCAGCTCTTTGAAATGTATAGCAAATCACCTGTGAATGGTGGAAAAACAGGCAATTGCGTTATGTTAATCCATATAGCTAATTACCAGAGGTGCTTCGGAAACAGATCTACTTCAAAGTCTCCATGATTGCCTATTGTTCGCCTAAGGACTCCGACCTGTCGAGAAGGCCTGGAACTGTATTAAAAACCTTTTGGGTCCTGATCCTTTTTATCGCAGATCTGCTTGATGCTTCATGCAGGGGAAGCTTAAGTCACAAGACTGAGATCTCCAGTCCTAACTGGATCACCCTGGATATGGACATTGGACTATAACCTATGGACTAATTCTGAAAATTTTTTGCAACTACAAAGCTCACCATCTCTACTTTGAATATGATCTCAGAACTGTACTCATGTCTGTATATTGATCTTTTAACCAATTCTCTCTCTCTCTCTCCTTTTTTTAATACATTTTAGTTTAGTTCATAAGAATTGGCTGTAAGTGTGTATTTGGGTAAGATCTGAAATATTCATCATATAAACAAGTTCTACCACTCCCATTAACCTCCCAGGTTAATGAATAAGATTTTTCAGTAATCCTCCTCATTTGACTTGGGTGTCTGAGTGGAGGCCTAAGGCTGGGATACTTTAACAGAACTGTGTTGGTGGCTTCTGGGTAACCAGTAAGGTGGTATAGAAGCCGTTGTGTGCTGGCTTGGCAAATCTAAGTATTGTAATAATCCCCAACGCTGGTGAATATCTGCCCCATTCTTCGCAGTTCACCCTAACTGAGTAGCCTCATTGAGGCTCCCTGGGACTCGGTCACAGGGATTGAACCAAAAAATATCCTAAAAACATTTGATTCACTTTAAACCAAAATCTTTTTTTTTTTTCTGCTCAAGTTTAAAAACTTGAGGGGAAAAAATTCATTTTGAATGAAGTGAAACTGTTCAGGTGTTGCATTTTGATTTGGTCATTTTAGGGTGCTGCTTGGCTTTTATACTGGCCAAATTCAAAAATGTCAAAAATATTTCATTTCAAAATGACATTCCATTTTGGAATTTCCCCCCCCCTTTTTTTTTTTTAAATCAGCCAAAACTGTTTGGTGAATTCAACACAAATCCAAGAAATACTTTGGTTTACCCAAATCTGTATTTTTTTTTAAGTTTAAAAAAAAACTTCATCCTAAAAATTTCACCCATTTCTAGTATACACCACTTTAAAATCTACATGACAGACACATTCTGTCCATATAACCATGCCAAAGAGTAAACTTGGCTTTAGACATGTTCTTACATTTAGTAGTGACCTTTTGGACAATTGCTTACTGAAACTTCAACTTAAATCCATGGAGTAGCAAAATAGACCACCTCCTACCTAATGTACATAAATCTAGCACTGATAGTGCCATCTGATCACGTACAGCAGTTGAGCTCTGAGATGGAGTCTTTTTTCCCTGTTAACGGTCTCCTTTGATCTTGAAGATACACATTTCTTGTACCTGGAAAACAAAACACTCCCCCCCTCCCCCATTTTGGAACACAGCTTAAAAACCAATTTACTTTTAAGATGGATTTTCACTCACACACACCCCCTCCCGTGAAGCATCTGTAGAACAGGCCACACAACTTGTACAATACAGAGGAGTTTACAAAGCCATTTGTAGGAATAATATAACAATCCAGAATGTTTTGATTTTAGCCTGGAAGGCCTATTACATACCAAATCATCAAGAGAAGACAATTCTGTTGTCCTCTGTTTAAACAATTATATTCTAAGTCATGTGAAGAAGACTTTTTCCTACAGCATTGGTGATTTTTAAACCATGTAAACCTTAGTGGGTGGTAGCTTCTTCAGTGTAAAAATTGAGTACAGATGGTGTATCCGTTGAACAATTAATAGGATTATTATTGTCTATCAGATTAGAGGAATTTAAAGAACATGCAACTACATCCACATTACCTTTTTTCTTTTAATTTACAGTAAAATAATGGATTGACGAGAAGGTTGTATCCCTGAGTTTTGGTGTTATCCTGTGGGTACCAGAAAGGTACCTCCTATTCGTGTCTGTGGCACATGGTCATCTAGTCCAGTGGTTCTTAGACTTCCTTGCACTGCGACCCCCTTCTGACGACAAAAATTACCACACAGCCCCGGGTGCAGAGGGGGACCAGAGCCTGAGCCCCACCACCCTGGGTGTGGGGGGGGAGGGGGGAGAGGGGCCAAAGCCCAAGGGCTTCAGCCTGAGGCAGGGGGCCTGTAACCTGAGCCTTGCTGCTCAGCAAGCCAACCCTGGTGACCCCATTAAAATGGGGTCGCGACCCACTTTGGGCTCCCGATGCAGTGTTTGAGAACTGCTGGTTTAGTCTCTTGTGGGCTGGTATAATTTTGGTTGATGGGTTTAATGTGCGGGTGCTGTGTAGGGGTGGTGGCCTGTGACATATAGGAGGTTCGAGCAGATGATGCGGTGGTCCTTTTGGCCTTTAAATTCTGACTCTCTATTGAGGCATTTGAAAGTGTAATTGAAATTGTCGGAGCCTCCACCAACTCACAAGATTGAAATTTAGACTAGGCTTGGCCATGCCCTGAAACTTTCAAACTAGAATTTGAGTTCTTGTGTTACATGGGCTAAAATCTAAAACTATAGGCTTCCTTCCTTCCTTCCTCTACTCTCTTCCTATGTAAACATTTTTAGCAGACAGTCTTGAATACAGACAATAGCAATTTAATTCAGTCAAATGAACAAAAGTTGTTTTAAAATTAAGCATACTAAGAATTCATTGTTGAACCCAGTTATACTTTTGGCTTTAGAGAATTAGACAACTTCATAGAGGATAGGTCCATTGGTGGCTATTAGCCAAGATGGTCAGGGATGCAACCCCAAGTTCTGGGAGTCCCTAATTTTCTGACTGTTAGAAGCTGGGACTAGACAAGGGGGATGGATCACTCAAAATTGCCTTGTTCTGTTCTTTTTCCCTCTGAAGCATCTGGCATTGGCCACTGTCAGAGATAAGATACTGGTCAGACTCAGTCTGGCTGTTCTTATGTTTATCACTGTTTGTTTTAAAACCAGTTCTTCCTCTCTCTGCAGGTTCATAAAAATCAGCACTATGACTGATGGGGACTATGACTATCTGATCAAACTCCTGGCCCTGGGGGATTCTGGGGTTGGGAAGACAACATTTCTTTACAGATACACAGACAACAAATTCAACCCAAAATTCATCACAACAGTAGGAATAGACTTTCGAGAAAAACGTGTGGTAAGTTTCTCAAGTCATCAATGTCTTCACTTCTTCCAGTTTCCAATAGTGTTGAGAACATGCTTTACGTAAATATATACAGTTCCTCTTACTGAAAGGTTTAAGGTGTGTTGAGAATGCCTTTTCTACTTTAGTTTCTGACTTGCATCCAGTCAAAAATAGAAGGGAGTGGGGTAGAAGTTGTTGCCCTCAGATGGCTGCCTGGTGTCCTAGTGGGGTATTATGTATTTACATTCCATTAGCACCAAAGGCCTCCAGCGGGGCCCACGGTGCTAGCTGATGTACAGACTCATTACAGAGACAGCCTCCGCCACAAATTAGTTTGCGGCCTGAAGAGATAACATGACAGAAAGAGGCACAGCGAGTGTCTTGCCCAAGCTCACACGCCAGGTAAATGGTTAAACTGGAAGTAGAACCCATGTCTTCATGCTCCTTCCCAATGCTCAGTCAACTAGATCAGAGGTCAGCAACCTTCAGCACACAACCCATCAGGGAAATCCGCTTTTTGTTTATGTTGACCGTCCAGAGGCATGACTCCCCTCCACCCCCACAGTTTCCGGTGGCCACGGTTCGCCATTCCCAGCCAATGGGAGCTGCGGGAAGTGGTGGCCAGCATGTTCCTGCAGCTCCCATTGGCCGGGAGTGGTGAACTGCAGCCACTGGGAGTTGCGGGGGGCCATGCCTGCAGATGGTCAACGTAAACAAAATGTCTTGTGACCCACCAGCAGACTTTCCTGATGGGCCATGTGCCAAAGGTTGCCGACTCCAAACTAAATACTGCCTCCCAAGGTGTCTATAGCACAAACGATTGACTTCTTTGACTCTCACTTTGGTAATGTGGCTGTAGATTGAACTATCCTCATGCCTCTATAGGTGGCCCTTTCAGGCTACAATTCCACACTTGTAGAACAGTGTGGGCTAGCTTGTACTGTGGTGCATTTGTTCCTTAATATTAAATGGAAGATAACAATCTTCTGTGCTGTCAACCTGACTCCTTTCGTGTGTACTAACATTCATTGCCACTGTTTTTATAGACCACAACTATTGTGCATATCCACAGACCTTGACAAAAATGGATAGTATTTTTTTTATTGCACACAAAAATTTCTGTCTTCAGATAAGAATGCTCTTGGCTTGCTTGAAGCACAATAGCAATCATCATAAATCGCAGGATCGGAAATCAGGAAACGTGGGCTCTGTTCCTAGTTCTTGAACCTTGGATGTTAATACTTGCCAAACTCAAAGGGAAGTGCCTAAATTCACTAGTGTATGTAAAGTGCTTGCATAGCATTGCAAAGTGTTTTGGAAGCATTAACCATAACGAGAATGGAGCATTTGCAAAAAGCAGGTCTTTAATGCACAGCAGGCCATATTAAAGAAATCTAGGAGGTGATTTCAACACATTTGTATCCTGAGGTGAGCAGAATCGGGGTCTAAATGACCATATTGAATATACCCCATTCATCTTCAGAAGACAGTATTGGTTTTCTGGTTTTGAAATATTGTTTTGTAAGAGGCCCTTTTGAAGTGGAATATTAGTGAATGTGAATCTCTGTAGCAAGTTTAAGCTATATTTAATAAACCAACTTATTCTCCATTTGTTTTTGAAGAATTTTTTTTGTTTCAGTACAGCACTATGTGCTAAGGGTGAAATTTTAGTAATGGGAAAGACATTCATAAATTAAGCAAAAGACTTCTTTATTGACTATAGAATAAGCTGATTCTACTCTGTGTGTTTGTCAGATATACAATAGCAGAGGACCAAATGGATCTCCAGGAAAAACCTTTAAGGTTCATCTACAGCTTTGGGACACCGCTGGGCAGGAAAGGTAATGCACAGAGTTTGGCATTTCATGTCCAGTTAATCAGAATCATATGCATGTTTTCTAAAATGTAGACAGGTATCCTATTCAGGTGAGTCAGAAAAAACACTGGTCTTCTGTCTCAGATTTTGGTTTTGACAACAAATGAAAATCCACCACTTGTTCCCGAAGGATCATTTTAAACTGTTGCTGCTTTGCTGTGATTATACTGAAATACTGTGTTCACTTCTTTTGTAAGCTCCCCTAGCTACTCTGGAGGAGCAGTAAAGTTCATGGTGATTTGTTAGCACACAGTATATAGCTTGGCCTACTCTTGATGATTAAATATTGGCTGTGCCTAGAGACAGGAAAGGGGGCAGGGGAAATCAGTGAGGTAGCAGGAAACAGTACTGAGGCGGGAAAGGGCAGCCTAAAACAGCTCATTAAATGGAGAAGGGGAAACCATGAGTACAAGCTGTCATCATACTTCTAAAGGGAACCTGAAAGCACTGAAGGAAAATTGCTTACAGCAAAATTCAGTGGATAGGAGAACAAAATCAGACCTGAGGAAAACAAGTGCAACTACATTGTTTGTGCCTTTTGTCACCTTTTTGTGTGGCATCTACACCTGGAAAGACTAATTTTGGTTTGAACCAACATGTTTCCATGTTTTTCTTTCAAGCCCTCCTAAAGCACATAGGGGAGGTCTAGGGTACAGAACCTAAGAGAGGTCACAAAGTAAATGACTGGCAAACGAGGAACTGGACACGTGCTAAATGTCACAGCTAAAACACTTATCCCTGTGTCCATAGTATGTGTTGTCTGTCTAAATTATAAGTTCCTCAAGGTAGGGACCTTGTCTTCATACTCTTTGTAGATAGCGAACATACTTACTGTGGTGCTATATTAAAATTGGCCTCTATTAAGACACACCCATTTTTCTGGTTTGAATCTGTTCCATTGTCTGTTTGACAACCACATTTAGCCATGCTTTTATACAGGATCACTTCTACAAAAGAGATCATATGGTAGCACTCTTGCAGCTAGCTTGTCATGGGAAACCTAACGAGTGTGTGGCTCTTTTGCAGCAGTAGTTTGTTTTTTAATTTTGATATATGTGCCCTGGGATATCTTATCTACCACATCTGCTACTGACAGATGTACCAGATGATGTGGTGGCTTTTGTGATGTGGTAAACTTTCCTGTACATAAGACAGAGCACCATATTCCATTTTCTGTTTTCTTAATGTGTTTGGTTTCCTAATTTATTTTGAGACTCTGGCTTGTGGTCCTGTGGCAGCAAACTGGGGCTATTTTTTGGATGCTGGGTCCATGGCTTTGTGGAAAATCTGCAAAATGTGTTATCTCTGAATGCACAAAGACCAAACAAGTTTCATTGAGCTCAGATTGTCAACTACAGGTAAATCAGGGCCTCTGTAGATGAGCTTCCCAGTAAACTGTTTTTATTCTAAACTATGATTAAATGGCCAGATACTTCTTTCATATCTGCCATATTAGGTGGTGGTTATCCATCAAGGAAAAGTTTCCTCACAATACTCTTCTTGTATTCATCAGTTGAACCGATTTGTGTCCCAGTGATTAGGGATGAACTCAGTGCATCTGTCTCATTGTGATTAAACAAGCAATATGTTAATTTTTAGACTAGTCCAAAGGATAGAGAATTTGAACTAGCAGGGTGGTCATTGACAATGTAACATTCTCACACATCTAAGCATCCTCTGGTAAATTACACGCTCGCTGATAGCTATGATAAATGTAGCCAAAAGAAAGGCCAGGGGCTTTTGACTATTATGAGAACACTTGGCTGATTGTGCAACTTCTCTGGGTTTGGATTTTTTTTAAAACTGCCTGTTGCAAAAGAGATTCAGTAAAGCTTTTTTTGTATCTCCCCTTTTGATGGTTGGTTGGTGGTTTTTGGTTTTTTGTTTGTTTCACACACACACCCCTCCGTAAGTCCTGCACTAAAAATCATTACCTATTGATTTTAGAGGTCCGTCTGTGTTAATAGAGCTGCTTATTTGTTCCTTCCTTCAGATTTCGAAGTCTCACCACAGCATTTTTCAGAGATGCCATGGGCTTTTTATTAATGTTTGATCTCACCAGTCAACAGAGCTTCTTAAATGTCAGAAACTGGATGAGTAAGTAAAACAAACAGCTTGCATGCATCCGATAGCTAGCAGCTTGTTTTTGTGTTTGGGGGGGGTGGTTTTTTGTGTGTGTGTGTTGTTGGGTGTGTGTTTTTTTTTTTTTTTTAAGGTTCCTGTATATTGAAGGTCTTCATTTATGTGATGTTAATTTCAAAGCATGGTCCAGTATTTTTCAGGTGGCCATAAACCTATGGCTTGAGTCGGTGGGCTCTGAAGACCCAGCTCTGGAAAATTTACACAAACTTGTTAACCTTCAGAGCATTCTGCAAAGCACATCTGTTCATCTGGCCTTTTCTGGGATGGGTTGGAGGTTGAGACGAGTTTGTGGTGGTCAGTTTTTGGGACTTGTAAAATAAAATTAATCATACCATATATGTGCTTAGTATGATGTTATGGACTGTTACATTTTGTATTATCACTGTTTGGGCTGTGTGGTATTGTCCTGATTTTTTCTACATGTATTTTTTATTTGTATAAAGGATGTTTATTGGTCTTTAATACGGTACAGTGCCTAAGGTTTGGTTAGATGTTTCATCAGATTTTAAACACAGCCTACCAAACAAAAATGAGAAATGTGTATTTTAGGTATATTTCAATAGCTTCTTGCTTCGCATTTGGTTTAACCTATTAAGAAATCCTAGTTCTAGAAACATCCAAGAGGCAGCATTGTATGCTGTCTAGAATACAGTTGGGTGAGGTGACACTAAAGGAGTTCACACTTCTACTCTTAGTTCTGGTACTGATTTACTTGTGACCATGGTCACTGAACTTTTGTGCCTCATTGTTCCTATCCCTAAAATAGGATAATCCTTTCCTGCCTATCTAGGAGGTTTTATTACTGTTGAGCTTCAAGGCTTCTGAAAAGCAGTGTTAGTGCAGTGCAGTCATAACTCCTAACAACTGACCATACTTACTCTGAATCTTAACAAGAAACATGCCACTTTTAAATAATTCTACATTTTGAAAAATATGGTTACTTCTTGCCTCTTGTGCCTGTTGCCCACTGACTTGAGCAGGACCAGGATTTGGACCCAACGTATTTAAAAAAATGAAGAGTTGAGAAGAAACTGAGGGATTTATAGTGTGTGGTGTTTTTGTTGGGGGTGTTTTGTTTTGTTTTGCAAGGCAGGAATATCTGATGCAGAAATATGTGAAGTAACCTGAAGCAAGGGTTAAAACAAAATTGCTAGAGAGCATGGATCATCCCTATTTAAAATAAAAATGTTTAAAAGGGGTGGGGTGTGTGTATTCTTGTCCAGTACTGGTTAAGCTATTATACTGGAGGAAAAAACAACATGCAAAAGATGACCAGACTTAATTTCAGGTTCTGTATAATTCAAATTTGCCATTTGTTAGCAAACTAACTTCTGCGTGCTAGTTGGGAGTATTCTGGCCTGTGTGTACAAGAACACCGTGAAAGGCAATATAGGAATACAAATATAACAATAGCCATACTCCCACTTCAGTCCACTATTTGGCTACTGAAAAATTAATGCATTGGACTCTATCTGCTTCAGTGGTTCCTTTGCCGCACTGCTCCTCTAAATTTCTTCCACATATTCAATTATACTGCAGCTGTTCATCTTTTCTTACCCCAATTTTTGAGGTAAGAAAAGATAAGTGTAAGGAAATTACTTAAATATTTTTGTTCACACTCACACTCTCTATCTAGCTCCAGGGAAACCAGTGGATCTACATACTTTTATCCCAACTGAAGATTTGGCCTCAAATTTCTAAATAACTGCTTGTGAAAAGCGTTTGGAATGATCTTTGTTTCTGTGATTCTCCTAATGGGTTTCTTTGACTAGGAAAATGTCTGTCTGTACTAGAGAAAACCTAACCAAAATGTACTGATGTCTATTACTTATAGACTGAAGTACTTTATGTAGAATACATCTTTGCATTTGATTCTCCTCTTTCTAGGCTGTACGGAGGTGAAATGAATAGTTCACTGGAAATAAATTCCTAATCACATCTGTTCCATTTTCCTCTGTAGAAAATTTACTTTAATGAGCCAATGTATTCTAAAAAGTCCATATGATACAAGAATTGTTTTTTAAATCTTGAGCCATAGTGGCATTTCAATACTTTTTACTCTAGGTTTGTTTTTTTTAGGTCAACTGCAAGCCAATGCGTATTGTGAGAATCCCGATATAGTATTACTTGGTAACAAGGCTGACTTATCAGATCAGAGGGAAGTCAATGAGAGACAAGCAAGAGACCTTGCAGATAAATATGGGTAAGTAAATTGTGATTGGAAAATCACTTCAGCTGATCTCTACATCAGTGTAATGTTTTTAAAACCTAAATTGCCACCATGCAGCTTTGAAATTTGGGAAACCACTTAGATTGGTTAGATTTACAGATGTTGATATGCTATAGAAATTAGTCTGATGTGCAAAATCTTCTACAGCGCTGCCCACCCTGTTACACTTTGAAATTAGTAGTCCACATGTTTCAAAGTTTGACAAGCTAGATAACACCGTAGAAGATGGTGTTACAGCATATTGATGCTTAAGCAAAATATAATTACTACAGAGCTACATTCTAATTCAGCTGGTTAGCCCTAAGAACTGGGACAAAAAATGTCTAAAGCATACGCCCTAAAACTCACTGTGAGAAGGGCTGCATGGCTAAAGAGACTGGTAATACGCTCTAGCTGTCATGATTGCACCTAGCGACCCCAGGATCTTACAAGTGGAGAGTGTAACACACTGATGTCCTCAGCTCCTTTTCTATTGGACAATTCTGAACTGTCATATTTTGCATGATCATGCCCTGCACTTTTTTTTTTAAATGAGCAATGCTTAATACAAGAAATGCCCTCTTCTAATTACAGAAAATTTGGTTAGAATTTTGGGGATTCATAGTATGAACATTTAATAAAACTAACTCTTACATTGTTTGAACTGCCTGTTAAACTCAGAAAATAGCACTGTGTCTCATTAATAAAAAACAAAAAGCATCCTTTTTTCCCTGATTTGATTCACTAGGGCTTAATGTGGCTATTCACAGAGAATTTGAGCCAAAAAAAAACAGATGAGGCAAGCTGAGGGACTACAACAAGCAATCAGACAAATTCTTATTTTGATACATCAGAAGTAGAAAGTCTAAGAATTGTCCTTAGTCAATTGAGTAAGGACACTGCAGAGAAGTGAAAGGGCTGCATCAACTTGCATAGGAGTATTTGGGGGGATCAATGAGATATTAACAAAGATTTGAGGGGTCAAAAGAGGAGGCACTGGAGCAAATTGATCTTTTTGCTTGTTAGAAAAAGCAACAGAACTAGAGGGCATTCTTCTGAATTCCAGGTTGAGATTTAAGAATGAAGAGGCTAAGCTGTGCACGTAAATAGACAATCTCTTTGAAATAGCCACTAATTCAAAGAACTGGGGAGTAGCAAATGTTGTACCTATCTTGGGGTTTTTTTTTGTAAAAGCATTGTTCATATTTTAGATCAGTATTGCTCACTTCACAATCAGGTAAACTGGCTGAAATTCTAATCAAAAGCAGTTGAGTTGTAAAACCCCTAGAACAGGATGGCCTAGTAAAGGAAAACTGCATTATACTATGCGTCATCTCTAAGGATTCTATGCTTGTCTACAAAACCATGGAGAACCAGTTGCCCTGACACTTTTGTCAAAGGTATTTTGAAAAAAAATCCCTCAAAGGTTATTAAGGAAACTAAGTGGTCAGAGTGACAGTTTGTTACTCGTGACAATCCTGGATCTCGGACAGAAAATGGAGTAAGAGTAAATAGTATACTTTAATTATAGCAAAATGTGAAGAGTCGTGTAACTCAATATTCCATCATAGGGCGGTGTCACTGAATTATCAGTGTGATGAAATGCAAGTTCAGTCACATTGAAAGGGATCATTTGAGCTGCTCGTACATATTGCTGCTCTCCAAATGGAATGTAACAACTCCACTCAAAAGTGACCTGGTAATCAGAGGAGATCGCTCAATGGGAACTGCTGCTTGCGGTTGCTGTTTGACAGCTGATGCACAATACTAGAATGCATAGAGAGGGAAATGAAAGCAATACTGAAAATATACTGTTGTTACATAGACTAGTCGTGTGCCCCACCCAGTGAGCTGCCAAAATCTTAACAACCGGTTCCCTCCTCACCCCATGAGGGGGTCGTGGCCCACCCCCACCCCCTGGGACTCCTGCCCCATCCACCCCTGTCCCCTGACTGCCCCCAGAACCGGGCAGGAGGGTCTCGTGGGCCACCGTAGCGGGTGCCCACCCCACCCCTAAGAGCCACAGGGACCTGCCAGGGGGCGAGGTGGGGCAGTTCCCAGGAAGCATCCGGCAGATCCCTCTGGCTCCTAGGCGCGGGGTAGTAGCTTGGGGAGGGGGAGCGGCTGCTCCCCCCACTGATCACATCGAAAGTGGTGCCTTAAGCACCACAAGGAAAATTTTTGTGGGTGCTTGGCAGCTCCTCACCCCGCGCCTGGCCCCAGCTCACCTCACCTCCGCCTCCTCCACTGAACGTGCCACCCCGCTCTGCTTCTTCCCCCCCCCCCCCCCCGGTTTCCCCACAAATCAGCCTTTCGCGTGGGAGGGCTGAGAAGCAAGCAGCGGCTTTGCGGTCAGGCCCAGGGAGGTGGAGGTGAGCTGGGGTGGGGAGCAGTTCCCCTGCGTGCTCTTCCCCCCCCCCCCCCCGGTTACCTGCTGTGGCATGGGCGGCCCTCCTCGTCCCCCCCAGCTCACCTCTGCCTCCCTGGGCCTGAGCGCGAAGCTGCCACGTGCTTCTCAGCCCTCCCAGGCTTCACCCGCGAACAGCTGATTCGTGGGGAAACCAGGGGGTGGAGAAGCAGAGCGGGGCGGCGCATTCAGGGGAGGAGGCGGAGTGGAGGTGAGCGGGGGCTGGGCATGGGTAGGGGCAGGGAGCTGCCGGTGGGTGCTCTGCACCCACCAAATTTTCCCCATGGGTGCTCCAGCCTCAGAGCACCCATGGAGTCGGCGCCTAAGGCACCACTTTTGGCCGGTTGTTAAAGTTAGAAGTCCTCACGGGACAACCAGTTCTAAAAGGGCTTCTAACTTTAACAATCAGTTCCAGTGAACCGGCTCCAGCTCACCACTGGCCCCGCCCCAGAGTGCTGGGTTCAATTCTGGTCATTTGTCTCAAAAAGAATTCAGAAGAAATAGAGGGATCTGTGAAGTAGATGACAACAATGATCAGAAACATGGGAAAACTTCCCTATGAAGAGTCCAAACTCCTCTCTGAAAAGATTGGATAACAGGGTACATATATTTTAAAAACCTTATGACCACTCCTCCTTACCTGTTCTAATTATGCTTTCCATTAAAATCAAAAGGCAACAATTTTAAAATCTGTAAAGCTGGTATCCTCCTGTGGAACTCACTGACACAGGAGATCAGAAGCAAAGATCATACTGTCCACAGCTACATTAAATAGAATCCCAAAACAAAACCTTCAAATAGAAATTTTAAAACTCTTCTGCTCCCCACAGGAAAAAACTAATCCTATCCCACTATGGGTAGGCTTCTCCATAACTGTCTAGTAGATAGTTATTGCACCTTTTACCTGAAGCATTCTGATAAATGCTTCTATTGGAGATAGACCACAGGTCTAGACCGATATGGCATTTTCCATGTTCCTTGAGAGTTACTGTAGATGCAGACAGTCTTTACTTTCCACCCGGGAAACTTCTGGCGACCTAAAACGGACTGCCTGTGCATAAACGTATGAAATCCTTCAAAGCTGAAGTATCTGGAAGTCCATGTTACCAAATAGTGAGGGAGAGTGACTATAGAAATTTAACTGGAAATGCTCCTGAATGCACTAAATAATCATGATACACCTCTGCTTCCTGTTCCATCTCTCTATGAGCAGACATTGCAGCTCTTCCTTACAGAACCTTGGAAAAACTAAACTTTTATGAAGGCCTGTTTCTCCCAGCTGTAGTTTGTGCACATGCTGCCATTCCGGTTTGAAGCCAGAACCTCCAAGTTAGTTAAAACCGGCAGTTGGTTCAAGATGCAAAACTTACCTTGATCTTAATACCCATTCCCCCAACCCTCTGTGTTTAAAGAGCTGGGATTTTGTTCAGCCCGCTTAATGCAATGAAGGACAGCCCGATTCCAATTCCGAAATTCCCTATCCCCCACCAAGAAAATTTGTTCATGGGTGTTTGGATCAAGAGTTTGGCTCTGGGGCCTCTCTCTCATTTTAAGCCCTTTCTAATGAGCTTTTTAATTTTTTTCATATCCTATATATTAGCATACCATACTTTGAAACAAGTGCAGCTACTGGGCAAAATGTGGATAAAGCTGTGGAAATGCTCCTGGACTTGATAATGAAGCGCATGGAACAATGTGTTGACAAGACACAAGTGTCTGACACAGCCAATGGAGGAAGCTCGGGGAAGCTAGATTCAACAAAGCCAGAGGAGAAAAAGTGTGCCTGCTAGACCTCACCTGTAAACTGTGAGAACCAATAAGAATATTTGATCTGAAAATGGTTGCTTTACCACTAAATTCAAACCTGGCCATGCACAGAAACAAAGTTTGTCTTGTTTGGGTTTTTGCTTTTCTCCAGAGAACTAAGTTTTCAGAGAGGCTTCTGTGCTGGAACAAATATTCCTGATATGGCGCCATGGAAGATCTAAAAGAGCCCTCATCTTTATCTTACACAATCAGGCTAGAAAATGTAGGAGAGCTGTTCCCTCCTTCCTTGGAAGGAGAAAAAACTATATTGTTTCTATGGGGTGGGGGAGAAATAATTAAATTGGATATCGTGATAAACTAAAAAGGGGGTACTTTGTAGGTCTCTGTCTTAAATGAATCTTGCTTCTTTATACTACTTTGTATTTACATCAGAGACCAGGCATTTGCTCAAGTGGAGATATGAGTAAAGAGAATTTTATGTGGTATATTAGGAATGACCTTAATACTTGCACAAGGCAAGCAATGGTGTGACTGACTGGCTGATAAGTTGGTGTGTGAGGAGAAAGGGGTGGATGCTATTTTTTAAAATAAAACCAGGGAAACCTGCAACATTTATTTGTGTTGCTAGTAAATAATCAAGCAGGGTTTGGAGGATGAGGGGATAGGGAGAAGATGCTCAAATTCCAGCACTACAGGGAAAGTGGCAACACTTACTGTTTGAGGACAGCAAGATGCATTTTGTGGAGTGTCTTGCAGATTTCACCATAAGCAAAAGCAGTCTTTGCTAATCAGAAAAATTCTGTGTTCAACACCAGAAAACAGGCTGTGTGCATCACGTAGGGCATGCAAGGGGAATTGTGAAAATGGGGTCACTGTCTAAAAGAGTTGCAAAAAATGTATCGCACTTACTGATTCTCTAAAAGGTTATTCAGTTGACTGGGAACTCACCACCTGCCATGATTTTGTGATGTTGCCAGTATGCTTTGTTTTCAAATGAGCACAACATTCTCGTATACAAAATAAACTAGAAAGTGACACTCCTTGTAAAATACTTCTAAGTGGAGATTTGGAATGCCAACATATTAAATGTGATCTAACACTAGATAAAATGTATTGTGTAGAGTCTATAGAAATGGGGTGGTATGGCAGGTAATTAGAAGGCTGCCAGTTGCACTAAAAAGTAAAGCAGGAAGGTAAAATGTGAGTAACTTTTTGTATTGTCTTAGTATCTCTGAGTATGGATGAGCGAAGGAATGAGAAAGTTCTGTTACAACAATGTCTCTCATCACTGGCTTCTCATTTAAAAGCAAAGAATACAAGAAAATATTTAGGGTTTACTTCTATTAAATAGGTAAGGATCTAACAACATATTCAAAGGACTCCATGAATTTGTACTTCCAGACTAATTTTTAAAAATCGCTCCAGGGAAAAATCTTTCACAGAAGAGCTCTGCCAAAGAGCAAAACTAAATTGGTTGGGTTGGGGGAGATGGTGGAAGGGAGGCAGACTTCCTCCGCTTTAAACTTAAAGCAAATGTGAGGTTTTCAGTTTGTTTTTGAAGCACTGTGATTCTGAACCAATTAAGCTTTCCAGGTGGCAGTCCACAAACTATCTGATTCAATGCCTTTTTTTGAAAAATATTGAGGGTTTACCAGCTGCTTTGGTGACTGGGCAGCGCACTTCCTGCCCATCCCTCCCAATGATATTTACTGAAAGATTTGGCATGTAGACAGGGCAGATGGTCTGACAATAAGGGTAGCCATTTTTGTAGGGTGAGTAACCAAATAGCCCCTATAAACAAATTGGAGCGAGCAAATCAGTTTGCTAAGTGTCTAAATGAAGACATACCCTATGCAGCAAGTTCTGAAATACCTGCTGCCTTTTTGTAACCCATAAAAAGCTCATGTTACGCATCAACTCCAGTGGCTGCAAGACAGACACTGTTATAATTGGTAGCTATTGCCTAGGCAAAGACTATAAATGTTGAAGTAGGCTGTTTAAATTTCAAGTACGGTCCCACAAAATAAATTGAGTTAGTGGAGTTTCTCTTCCTTTAAATACTAAACCGTACCAGAGCTTTGTTCAGTTAAGTCCTCCAAAGTCTGTGATAACAGTAGGAATGGTTGTAACCTGGGATTTCCTGCCTCATTATTTTTATTTTTTTTTTCCCTAAATCCTCAGCCAGGTAGAATCAGTACTTAATTTACAGTGTTTGGTTTTGCCCATTCAAACAGGGTGAGGCGGCTAGCCCTCTTGAAAACATGACTTTTGCCCTCCTGTTATCCAAAGCAGACTGCTCTACAGGAGAACTCTGTAATCCTCCCCATTAAACTCCATTGCCTGACAACTCCCAAGGGAAAGTGTTCTGAGACATTCCACTGCTTGAGGTTGAAATGTGTAACAATCACAACTTGAAGGGCTCCCTAGGCCATGGGAGCTTGACCCCCCCCCCCCACCTCCACCACTGATTCACCCCAGGTCACGCTGGAGGGTGACCCATTGTGGGACCTCACATGGCTGTTACCCATTTGGGGCACACTCCACAGCTCCCCCCATGAGGTCACAGCACAATGCACCATGACCCAGCTCCAATTACCCTGCCCCACCTGGCAGGTCAGGATGGGCTGATCTCAAAGCCAGGGCAGAAACTTCCCAGCCTCTGTGCAAAGCTTCCATCCAGGCAGCTCCTCCCCATGCTCTGCACACAACTGCAGCAGGTGCCCCAGTTCTTCCAGCAGGGCCTACTGGTCCCTCCCCAGGAGCTTTAGAGTTTGTACTGCAGGTGAGTGGTCAGTTCATTGGCAGGAAGCCATGTCATTGCAACACTTTGTTGGGGGGATGACAGCATTTCCTGCCAATCCAGCACCCCCCCCCCCATTTCATTCCAGTCACTCAAACTTGGACTTGGCCCTGTCCTGCCTTCATCGAATGTTGAGCAGCAGCAGCAGGAGGCCCAGGCAGACCTTAGCCAGTGACATTGCTTGCATACTGTAGTTGAGACCGGTAGGCAGTTGAGTATGGTATAGTCTCTATTGCCTTAATGTACTAGCTCATTGAAAAAGCTCTTATCAATTTTTAATTATCACAGTCTTGCTGCCATCATAAATTATTTTCAAATATTAATGTGGATGGGCTGGTAGCCACCAAACCACAGTGTGGAGGGAGAGGAAGAAAAGTAAATCTATACCTTACCCCTTAGATACACTGGAAGAGTAGCATTCAACTACTATTAAAAATAAACTACAAAGCCATTAGTAGCTGATTGGAGAACTCCCAGATTCATTTTTTTCCACAAGAAACTGGATAACTTGCTTATTTCTTAACAGTCTCCCCAGCTTGCTTCCATTTCCCCACACCCTTCTTGTTCCTCCTAACTACTGTTTTTAGGGTCACATTCTAGTGGAGAGAAGGCTGCTATATTTGTGTAATAGCCTTTTGGGCCTGATTCAAACTACTGAGCAGGTGCAATCCCCATTCACTTCAATGGGTGATTGAGATGCTGAGATTCTCATTGGGCTCACTCCTTTGTGTCAGTGAAGATGTCTCCATTGCTGCATGCACTGGAAGTGAGAAAGTTTCCATGTTAGTGTCCTTTTACTGTAAGCTACCCTGAAATGCTTATCTTGAGAGCAGTGGGTCTTAAGCTCTTAAAGTGCCTGTATCGAGTGGAACTCTAATGTAGTGAAGTCTTACCCTACTGCCCCAGCTCCCTCCCTTAACCACTTCCTATAAGAAAAGAGGGGACATGGCTGCAGTTGCCATTTTGAAGCCTTTTCAATTTCACTATCTGGAGGGTCACTATGCACCAATCCCACTATGTAATTTTTCCATAACTGTTAACGTACTGAGTTGACAATGCCGAGTGACATATGACTGGTTGTGACTCATTGTTTGTGCACCAATTAGTTTCCAATCTCCACGTTGCAGCTGAGACATTAATAGAATAGTTCAATTTCTACACAGATGTGGTGCTGAAGTAGAGAACTCAGTCCCTTGCCATGACACTCCTATTTACCAGTTCAAACTCTCAAGTGTTCATTCTGAACTGCTACAGAGTGTAGCAGCTGCAAAACCTGTTTTTACACCAGTATTCTTTGGAGCACTGCACTTGAGCATAATCCTTCCTTCAAATACCCCTACGATCACATGGCTCTAAAATGAATTCACTTTTATGTACCATTTCCATCAAGAAGTAACCACTCTCTCATTTTCAAGTAATCTAGACTCGGTATTTCAATTTTGCTATTGCATAAATTATGTGGTACACAGTTGGATCAGAAGCTCAACATCTGCTTTATGTACAAACACAACCTAGCTGCAAGCCTTCTAACTATCCCAAAGGCATTGGAATAACAACTCCTGCAGTTGTACATGTGTATACATAAGTACTTAATATCAGTATAAGCCTTCTGCTCCTGCTAACCTTTGTTTCTAAATTTAATTCACATATTGATCCCTGTGTCCTGCTGGTTTCTCTGTCTTCTCCCCTAGAAATGTGTGCCTCCCTCCTTAATACCCTTTTTGTAACACTCTCTTCTAGGTAGTGCTCATTTCTGAGTTTGCAGTAATACATGGTGCTATGCGTGAGCCAACCCTGAGCATGGTAATTACTTAATCAAGGAATGACATGCAGCATCCAAGATGACAATACTGCCAAACCTATGTAGATCTGATTTTCAAGGACTCTAAACCCAGCAACAATGTGCTGATTTCTTTCTTTCTTTGATTTGAATCAGGTATGTCTTAGGGTCATCGTCTCTCTTCATAGGTAGCCTCCAGGCTCTGTACAAATCAGAGGTCATCAGATTTTTGTCTCCTCTGTTTTCTTGTTCATTTCCGTCCATGCTCAATTAACTTTTTGATCTACTGTAGGGTCAGAAATAATTTCTTAACTCCAGGTAGTAGTCCATTATTTCTTCCCGATCTACAAGTATTTTGTCCTCCTAATCTCAAGCATGAATGTAAAAATGTGACACTACTTAATACACTAAGTATCCACAGCATTGTATGAAGACTTCTTGTAGAATAGTCAAAAAACGAGAATGTATTTATTATACATTATAAAAATCTTTATTTCCTGTAACCTTCACCCCAGCCTTCAGTTTCAGCTGTTGAGGTGGAACAATGGGTTAGAAAAATACCAGTGCAGATGGGTAAATACACTTGTCTTAAAGTCATCGTTTTAAGCTTCTGAAATAGGTGGTGCTCTGCTGCATGAAAACTGCCATTTTGAGAGTCCGTAAAACTCATGTAGGAAATATTTTAGACAAGCCTTCCTTCTCAGCCATGCCCCAAAGCTGAAAATCCTCTTAGCCAAAATTACCCATTTAATCCTGGTTCTCAATCTCCCCATCCTTTATTTGTTCTAAATTAGTCTTATTTTCTACCTCTAGCCTGAATTTTAAGGGTCTTCCAATGCATCTGGAAAAACAAAGGAAGATTGATCTGGTGGCACTCGAATCAAAAACTTCTTTGCAAATATAGAAACCTTTTCTGCAGTGAGTTTACACTGGTCATGTTTTCATTGCTCTAAAATGATGTCTCAGCTGCTTCTATGACCAAAAGCTTCTTAAATCCTTCATTGTCACCTATGTAATCTGCATGTTACATCCTCTATGGGTGACATTGGGCTCCTGTACTGAGGACAAACATGGACCAGTGCACCACTTAAATCTCAAAGTTTAAGGGCATAAGAAGGGTGCACATAGTGCACAGGGTTTTCCATAGTGACATCTTCATGTGGGTTGAGTCTGTCTCTAAGATTACCCCTAGATTATAGACCTGGCATAAAATGTTCACCAGGTCTCCAACTCAGCCAAGTGGTTAAGAATATGCCAAAGTGCTTTGCTGAATCAGGAGCGGGGGCACCTTTATGGAGAGAAGTAGAACTGCCAGAGTAGAATAACCATAGTTCAGATAATCCTTAAAAATGCAACTGTGTAGAAAAGACTTACTTTTTTTAAACTATGTAAGCTTGTGAACAGGGTTGTTTTGATTTTTCTTTATTTACCATCCAGTTATTTGAAAAACTATTAAATCAGCACTGGGGAAAATGTTAAGTGTTTTTCATTAACTTGCCTCAAAGATTGCTTGCAGCCTTAAGCATATGATTTCTACTGATATAATGTAGAGTATACCACTCACCTGTTTGCCTGGTAACAGCACTACCTGTGCTGAACTGTTCCAGGATTAGACTCCTACTCAAGGTGACAGCAAAAAAGTTTGAACTTAAAATGCTCTTCTGCATTTTGTAACTTACTTACTTTACATCATTATGAAACCTAGTGTTAGCCTCCCCTTTTTCTGTAAAATACATCCATCTGTCTAACTTTCTATGCTAATTCTCTTGTTCTAATTTTGACTTTTTTTTTTCCCCAAAATTAGAATGTGAAACAAACAAAACCTTAAAATGCACAGGGTGGAGAATTTACTGCAATTGCCACTGTCAATTTATGGAAGCCCCAAATGCTATCTTCCTTTGAGGACTATGAATCCCATGTTTGCTCTTTAGAGCATACCCTTTTATGTTTAAAAAGATACTGTTATCTCTGAAAATATATTGGGTCTCCAAAGATACACTTGGGTTGCTAATAGCCTGAACATGTCTTTAACTAAAATTTGCCTACATAAATATCTAAAATTCCTTGTGTATGGTACCATAGTCATTGAAGGCAAGAAAGCACTTTTCTGGAGCTTGAAATAGACTGTCTCTCTTTAAAAGATGTGAAAGGGAATGTAGATATTCCATTTTTCTTGTGGTGGGTCACAGGTGCCTCTTCAACTGTTACTCTCATTTCCACGTCTATGTAGATGAGACTGATGATGGATATGCTGTACCAAAAATCCACAAATAAATCACTTGTCTCTCAACATGTAGTTGAGAGACGCTGCCATTAGCTATACTGCTAATTTTGTAAAATCTGTTGCCTTAGAAATATTTTGTGAAGGCTAAATCTTCATTAAAACTTTGAATATGTAAAGAATTATCAAACACTTGTTTAGACTTTAGATAACACTGGGCCATATGACTAACTATAGAAAAGAGATATAATAGAGATATTTTGATACCTGCTTGACAGCAAATATTTCAAAACCTGTTTCACTCAAAGTGGAGAGTTCATCTCCTAAAATTAATACTGTAAGGCTTACAAATAGATCCCCTGATCAACATCCAGCCTCTAGAGACATAGAACCAAAATATCTAGTTAGAACTGTACTTCCAATAGTAATCAAACCTAGCTGTGAACTGTCTTAGACACTTAAAGAATTCTACTTTTCTTTAATGGAGCCACCTGTAACAGTGGCTGAAGGATCCTGGTAATTAGACAGGAAACAGAAATTAGCAACTGCTACTCTAGTACAGGTACAAAACACTATATAGAGATTTCAGGCCTCATTCTGATTTGCTCAAAACCGCATTTTTACACTGGTGTAACTCCAAAGATGTCCATGCAAATCAAGTAAGACCAGGCTTGCAATATCTTTTGGGGTGTATTTTCAACAGGAAACTGTTTTCATAACATGTAAGCCATCTGCTCTACACCCCTCCCATCACTGCCGATAGGACAATTTTTGAACCAGAGACAAGGTAGTCAGCTGAGAACCATCCCTCTGGCTGGTGGACAGATCTGTTTTTTAGATTTTTTTTCTTTTCTTTTTCTTTTAGGTCTATATTCTCTAGTTCAGGGAAATACAGATGGTAACTCTTCATTGTGTGCTTTTTTTTGTATGGTAATTTAAAAATGGAAAATATTCTTTAGAAAGCATACCCTAAAGGGGTCAAGCCTCATTGCTCAATAGGGCTTTTAATGTACATACTGTATACTCTGATACCAGTTGTATCTTACTGGACCTTATTTATGGAAGTTAAATTGTTCTTTGATCTTTTGTTAAAGGTAACCAGCCAACAAATGCTAACAATGTTTATTGTTACCTTTAAATGTTCCGTTATGTCACCTTAAGCATGTTTTATGTTTGTCTTTGCAACAGATCTGTAAACGTTATGCCTAGTGATATGAATGTGATTTTAAACTCTTGAACATAGTATTTTTATTATATATGCCCCTTGATAGACTGTGGTGCCTGCATATCACTGTTAACATTATTTTGTTGTACCAACTTACTGGTGGCTTCAAAATATATTGTCCAATGATTCTCTGGTGTCTGGGTTTGTATGATATGGTCAAGGAATGTAATCCTGTGATTCAGTTTCTGCATTGTTCTTTTCAAAATAAAAACGCATTTTATATCTGTTGTATTGGCTGTGGGGTGGGGAGGGGAGGGGAGGGGAGGGGAGAAAAATAAAGCTCCTCCATAAACAAAATGACCCAGCTGTCTAGTGTTTGTAGCAGAACAATTCCAGGTTTAGAATGACTGACCAAGGGGGGAGAGAAAGGAACAATTCTCTCCCCTCCCCCGCCTCCCCAAAACTGACTGTTTCCATATATCAGGTCCTAATTTGTCTCAAAGAGTTAGACCAGATCAAGCTCCTCTAGATCAGTACAGTGGTAGGATCACTGAAAATGACAGTCACTATATAGCCTGCCCCATTTTGAAACCGAGCATTATGCCATTGAAAGTATGTCTACTAATCGTATGCCATGCTCTACGTTTGTAGAGAGGGGTGATCTGATTGCCAACTCCTTTTCTGGGCCAGTTCAAATTTCTAGCAAAAATCTCCCTCTTGAGTGGAGTAGCAGCTTGCTAAACAGAGAGAGCCAAAGGCTGAGTCCTCTACTGGGATGGAAACTCGTTCAGAATTTGGCCCAGTAATTATAGGGATAGAAATGTAGGGGATGCTGCTTGAAGCCTTATGTGAATACATCTGTTTAGCAGGTGCAGAGGTATACACTTAACTGAGGAAATCACAATCTCACTTTCAGAAGAAATGAAAGAGATGAGCTTGATGAGACTGAATTGTACCTGATTGACATGCATTGGGCAGAGCAATTGCTGTGATATGGCTTACAAAGCTAGCACTCTACAATTGTCTAGTAATTATGCAAGACAGTCAAGTATTTTTTTTCTAACCTAAGCCTGTTCAAAGGCTTAATCATGCACAGCATATCATCTGAATCAACTGCCAGACTAGCTGGAAGGTAAACATCATTTGCACCTTAGTGTGCTAAGCCTGAAGTGACAAGCTGCATGAATACAAGTCCATTAAGTCATGCAGGACTAAGACCTTGTTGAAATTAGATTCATTTTAAGACATGACTAAATGGAGTTGTAGTTTTTCCAAAAGTGATTGAGGCATTCCACTCAAATAGCTACATATAGTGTATTTTTCCCTCCACCACATCCATGAGGAGACTATAAATACTGAAATAAGGACAGCATGTACTGGACACCTCATGTTCTGTAGTATAACATCTAGCTAGAGTAGGAAAAATGTTTTATAGCCTACAACTGCCAGTGTTACTGAACAGGCACAGCCCTGCCTTCCACAAATGAGGGTAATCTTTTGAGCTCTGCAACAACCTTTCCCATTAAACAGCTGTTTCACATGTATCTAGCCTGGGAAATGAGCTTGTCTGCATCTTGGCATTAAACATTGAAGGTTACGCTGCAGCAGAGTCCCTGTGTGTTCCTGAGGGCTTGTCCGCATTACAGGTTATGTTGGCATAACTTATGTTGCTTGGGGATGTGAATAAGCTACCCTGAGCACTGAGAGTTACACTGACCTAAGAGCAGGTGTGGACAGCACTAGGGCAGCAGGAGAGTGGCTCCTGCCAACCTCTCAAAGAGGTGGTTTTGTTATGGCAGCAGGAGAATGCTGCTGTAACACTTCTAGGGTAGACAAGTCCTCAGTTTGCTCATTTCTGTTAAAACTACAACCCTCTAATTAACAGCTGAGAGTGGAGACTGTCAGCTACCCAACAATCCTGCAGCACAATACCATGTATCAGTGGCTTATATTTGTGTCCTGTATGTAATGCACACCTTCAGCTCCTCTGCAGGTGTTTCCTGCTGAGATTCTACTGCCTTGTAAACTTGGGGTGAAAAGAATAACCCTTAAAGCTCACGCATCAGATAACTCAAATGAAGCCCTCCACTTGTCATATTTGTTCTAAACATGAATTTGCCAGAATTCATAACATGTCAGCATGAGATCAGCTTAGTCAAGGGTCAAATGTCTTCAGGGTATAAGTTAGTCTCTTTGCTGTTTTCTGCTAGGGCGGCCCTATGGTCTACATTTCTACCAGTGCATAAAACTAGTGTATCAGCATGTTAGTTTTTTTTTTTTAAAAACACCTAAACTTTAATCACTACAATTTTTGTAAGCCTTGCATTGATTATAGTAAAGTGATATTTCACTGTCCCCTTCATTTAAATTTATGGGTTTGTAATAATGTTCTGTAAGTTTATATACTGCATCCATCACTAGTATAAGCAACTTCCTCCCTCTGAAAAGAAACAAAGTGACCAGCAGGGCTGTCAAACACTACTACAGTACTTCCAATTAAAAAATTATTAAGTGTGAAGGTGCAGACAGGTGCAATGCACCACAAAATCTAGACCAGTAGTTTGAATCTAGTCAATTTAGCATTGGATTCTAATCACTGCCAGCTAATAGAACCAATCTGAAAGTAGCTCAGTTCCACTGCAAGTCCTAGAATGTTTATTCCCTCACAAACAGCAACCAGGGAGACAGTCTCAGCAGTGAAAAGGTACAGAAACAATTACTCTGTCTCCTTGAAGATGGTAGCAGTAGCTCAGTTAATGCACTCAGGACAGAAGAACCCCATGCATCGCTACAGACTAGGGACCGAATGGCTAGGCAGCAGTTCTGCAGAAAAAGGACCTAGGGGTGACAGTGGACAAGAAGCTGGATATGAGTCAACAGTGTGCCATTGTTGCCAAGAAGGCCAATGGTATTTTGGGATGTATAAGTAGGTGCATTGCCAGCAGATTGAGGGATGTGATTGTTCCCCTCTATTCAACATTGGTGAGGCCTCATCTGGAGTATTGTGTCCGATTTTGGGCCCCACACTACAAGAAGGATGTGGAAAAATTGGAAAACATTCAGCAAAGGGCAACAAAAATAATTAGGGGACTGGAACACATGACTTATGAGGAGAGGCCAAGGGAACTGGGATTATTTAGTCTGCGGAAGAGAAGAATGGAGGGGGGGGGGATTTGATAGCTGCTTTCAACTACCTGAAAGGGGGTTCCAAAGAGGATGGATCTAGACTGTTCTCAGTGGTAGCAGATGACAGAATGAGGAGTAATGGTCTCAAGTTGCAGTGGGGGAGGTTTAGGTTGGATATTAGGAAAAACTTTTTCACTAGGAGGGTGGTGAAATACTGGAATGTGTTACCTAGGGAGGTGGTGGAATCTCCTCCTTTAGGATGTTTTTAAGGTCAGGCTTGTCAAAGCCCTGGCTGGGATGATTTAGTTGGGGATTGGTCCTGCTTTGAGCAGGGGGTTGGACTAGATGACCTGAGGTCCCTTCCAACCCTGGTATTCTATGACTTATTTGAAGGCTCTGGGAAGAAAGCTTACCTTATAAATAGCCAGACTACAAAATTCCCACTTCAGTTAGATGACCATTTTCAGCTACATATGGTTATTGCAAAACAAACAAACAGTTTAATATTATCTGTCTCAGAAGATCAATAAATTCAGTTAAGTGCCATAGAGGGTAAGCTTTTGCTTTGCCTAAAACTGTTATTTTAGACTTTTTCCAAAGTCTGAAAATGCTGCAATCAACATGCATAGCACATGTTGTCACTTGTGCAACCATTAGGTGAAGCTACCCAATGCCTATATAAAAACTAAAATAACCTATTAGTATGTCATGTTCTGATAGCTAAAAAAACCCCATTGATACACACTATAGATTAGAAATGACAAGTTTAAGATGCTAACACAAAGACTGAAAAGATTAAATATAATTTATTAAATAGCCCTTTACAATTAATTTCTCAAATTTAAAAAAGTTCTTAGTTACATTACAGTATTGTGTTAAAACTTGATAAACACCAATCTTTTTTTAATGTCTGTACCAATTTTTGTATACAATTAGGAAAGTTTTAATTCGTTAATCCTGAATATCCTCTTAACTGTTTGATGTACCTCTGGCCCATAAAATGCTTGTTGAAGATGGGCTCTTTGATACATAAGAAGCTGTTACAATGGCATATATTTCCCCATCAGCAATGTCCATAGGATGCTGCTGTCATTTGATTACACTGTATGTTAAAGAACACAATGTCTCTTCAGTTCTTGCCTTAAATCCAAATTTGTTTATGCATTTAATGAATCTTCTTCTGTACAAGTGCTATTCCTGGTGGCCAAGCATGTCAAGTTGCTGTATTATAACAAAATATATAAAAGGACTGAATGAAGGGTCATTAACGTAGATACACAGAGCTCCTTATGAGGAAGCTGGAACAGACACCACCGATGGACTCATCTAACCATTTTGCTTCCGTAGCCTAGCTAGCAATGAATAGGGGGATACCCCATCAATCCTGGAAGAACTAAAAAAGAGAAGATAACTATTACTCAGAGAATGAAGCACACCAATACGAAACAAACTTAGTACAGACATCTAGACATTTCTACTGTACCCAGATATTGGTGTGAAATGCACTCTGTCTTTTCCACCTCCATTCTTCCCCCCCTTACAGTCTCTCATCAGAGTCCTGAATCATGGCTGCCTTCCCTCTGTAGTAATGACTCTCGCCCCTCTCCAGAGCCCATCAGTGCTGGTCCTCGGGTGAACAATTCACTTCCTCTAATGCAATTAAGGTTGATCCCACACAAGACCGGAGGGTATTCTGAAAGGGTCTTAATGTTTTTTCCTTCCAGACATTGGTTTTGGTGAATGTGTAATTTTCTCTCCTATGTAATTTCACACATTGTTAAAATGACATTAATGGAGATGGCATTCCTCTACTGTAAAATGTTTTTACAGTTGAAACTGCAAGCCTCTAAGCCCAGTCTGATACTAATCACAGTATTCAGCATCTTCATCAGTTATTAAAAGCTACTTTTCAAATTTAGTGTTGATCTGACAACATTTTGTGCAGATGCTCACTAGTTGGTGTAGTAGTATGATGTTGACTGCACCAGTGTCTCAGTAAATAAGACAGACATCACATCTCTTTCAAGACTGAGGGCACTACCATTTGCAAGTCAGAATGCAACATGAGACAGGCAGAAGGATGCACCATTGATGGACTTATTGCCAGTTGCACAATTAAGACCCTTGTTATGTAGAATGTCAATTACTTAACTTCTCTCTCACACTGAGGCTTTTGTTTTCTTTCTTTATAAAGAAACTACAGCATGAAAATGTTATGACTATTTCTAACAAGACCAAAATAGAATAATTCAAGCAGTTTGGAATAAATGTGACATTAACACGCAAATAGCACTTATTAATCATTTGACACAATTTTTTACGATTAACAACATTTGCAGACAGCGTAGGAAGAGAGATTTCAGATACATGGTAATAACGTCAAAAGAATCTTACGTTGTTGAGACACCTTTTGAAACTTTAATCTTGGGTTGGGCAGACCAGAATTCCACCTTGTATTTAAGTTCTTTATTCTGAAATTGAGACATTAAATTAATTGCATTTCCACCAGTATATTATAGCATTTAAGAAAGTCAAAGATAGAGTTTGTGGGTGCGATCCTCAGCTGGTATAGATCAACACCACAGATAAATTGAAACAAGTCCAATTAGTATGTTGACTTCGATAGAGCTATTCCAGTTTACACCAGTTTAGCATTTGGCCCTTTGGGTCATCCAGAATGTCAATACAGTTTACAGGCACTGAGGGATACAATGCAGTCACTTTTGAAAATCTTGGCATGCTGGTCGAGCCTCAAACCTGAAGAAACATCAAGTTCCTGTGCCCAGCATTATTGTCACTGTTTGGATTTTGCTCTGTTGGTAAGAAAATCCCGCACAGCTCTTTTGAAGTGTAGGAGTATTTTTGTTAGTTGAAAAGCATTTTTGATGGTTGAAAATTTTCCTTCAAATCCGTTTTTCCAATATGACAGGTTTCAGAGTAGCAGCCGCGTTAATCTGTATTCACAAAAAGAAAAGGAGTACTTGTGGCATCTTAGAGACCAACCAATTTATTTGGTTAATAAATAAATTGGTTAGTCTCTAAGGTGCCACAAGTACTCCTTTTCGTTTTTCCAATAGAAATAGGAGGTTTTGACTCCACTCATTTTTGTATATATTTATATATTCTTCCATCAAAAAAACAATGCCCCCAAAATATTTTGATTTGGGTATTCTGCTGCGATGCCTCATGCTCCCATTCTCCTCAATGGCCTGGACAACATCTTGCATGATGCATTAGTCTCCCCACTCTGGTCTGTCTGAAAAATGGCAACAATTATCCTTTGATCTGTCCTGTTTATTTAGACTGAGATCCTTGGGGGTAGGGATGGCCTTACAAACCGTGCCTGGATGGGATGCTGTAACACTAATTAGCTAGTACAGGTCACTTTGAAAATGTCTAGAACTATATAATTAGTGTTATATAAATATAATAAATACATATGATATGTTAATGATATGTGTGTGGATTATATTTAATCCCCCACACATACTGGAATTAGAATCAATTTAGTGGATCTGCTATGACTGAAATTAAGATTCTGAATGGCAGAAAAGCATTTTATTTGTAATATATTTAATGTCTGTACCAATGTAAATTCCAGGATTATAGACTAGTGTTTACAACGGGATGTCAAGAACTATATTGCTGCAATGCGTCATTACACAAAAGATTGCTACAAACTGTAAAATGTTGCCAAAAACCACACAAAACAATAACAGTATTGCTACTGAAGATTATGTAAAATTGCAAGAGGCTAGTTTCTATGCAATGCTGAAAATATGGGGTAATTATTTTGACAGAATGCACAGTTCTTCACTGTAGCCTAATGCTTTCCAAAATACTAACATGTAATATTTCCTCAGAAGCTGAAAGTGAGCAAGGGCCATTATTAAAAAATCCAAACACACACACACATTTTAAGAATACAAGAATGGCCATACTGGGTCAGACCAAAGGTCCATCTAGCCCAGTATCCGGTCTTCCGACAGTGGCCAATGCCAGGTGCCCCAGAGGGAATGAACAGAACAGGTAATCCTCAAGTGAGCCATTCCCTGTCGCTCATTCCCAGCTTCTGGCAAACAGAGGTTAGGGACACCATCCCTGCCCATCCTGGCTAATAGCTGTTGATGGACCTATCCTCCATGAATTTATCTAGTTCTTTTTTGAACCCTGTTATAGTCTTGGCCTTCACAACATCCTCTGGCAAGGAGTTCCACAGGTTGACTATGTGTTGCTTGAAGAAATACTTCCTTTTTTTGCTGTTTTAAACCTGCTGCCTGTTAATTTCATTTGGGGACCCCTAGTTCTTGTGTTAGGAGAAGGTGTAAATAACAACACTTCCTTATTTACTTTGTCCACACCAGTCATGATTTTAGAGATCTCAATCATATCCCCCCTTAGTCATCTCTTTTCCAAGTTGAAAAGTCCCAGTCTTATTAATCTCTCCTCATGCTGAAGCCATTCCATACCCCTAATCATTTTCTTAACCTTTTCCAGTCCCAATATATCTTTTTTGAGATGGGGGAATCACAGTTGCACGCAGTATTCAAGATGTGGACATACCATGGATTTATACAGAGGCAATATGATATTTTCAGTCTTATTATCTCTCTCTTAATGATGCCCAACATATATATATATTATAAGCCCTAAGCTGAGAATATTACCACAAATAAAGTGAAGCATTTGTGTAGTGTAAAGTTCACCATGTGGGTAAGTGTTTGCAGGATCAGAGCCTAAATTATATCGTCATGGCTAAAATTCTCATCCAGACACTCATTTCATATCTGCATTACTGCAACAACCTCCTCTCTAGCCACCCCAAAATACACACTGCTTCCCTCCAGTCCCTATGAAATTCAAAAAGCACTCCCTCTCCTCCCTAACTCCCACTTCCAGCCTGTGGCCTACAAGAAATTACTAAAGAATTATGATTAGGCAGAAGGCTGATTGGGGGAAGTGGATAAAAAAAAAAAGCAATTATCCTTTCATCCCTCACCTTTAGGTCTTCATATGTTGTGTGTGTGTGTGCTCAGGTTGAGCTCTTTGGGACAGGCAGAGTGTCTTGGCACTTTCCAAATATGTGCTTGGCAAGTAGTGGGTGCTACCATAGTGCAAATAATAATTGTTAAATAGAAATTAGCAATTTTGATATTCTTCCTCCCAAACTCACCAGTACTGTATATTGAATAGAAATAGCTCGAGGGACATAGGGACATGTACGGTGAGAGATTTCCAAAAGCACTCTGCTTTGTTCTAACTTTGACCAAACTTACCATTGTATTCAATAAGAGCAGAGTTAGACCCTTGCTGAGTGCTTTTAAAAACCCCACCTGCAACTGTACCAACCACTCCCACTTCTCTGTCCTCAGAAAAATACTTAAAGAATCTTATTGTACCATACAGTTGGCCGAAGATGATGGTATAAATCTCTTGATGACTACTTGGGGGAAGAAAAAAGGAGACTCAAAAAGATGCAGAGTTGAAATAGTCTTAGGCTCACAATTGTAGAGTTTGGTGTGATACAATCTTTCCCTTTACCTGAGCTTCAAGCATATTTATCTTTTCTTTCATAGTCTTAATTTTTTTATCTTGGTTTTGTAGTCCGATGTTCAGTTCTTCAATCTAAGAGTTAGAAAGTAAAGTTAGAAATAGTTTTCAAACTTTGTAATATATTAGATACACTTTCAATAACCATCCTTTAAGTAGAGGGATACACTATTAGAGCATGAGGATCAAGAAAGTCAATATAGTCTGAAATCTACATGATAAAAAAAATGCTCTAGAGAAAGTGTAATGACATGATTGGCTGGCTGACTTATTTTTCTTTTTAAACAGATCATAAGTCACACTTCCACTAAGGGTAACATGTCTGCCTTTTTAATTCTTGGTCTCTGTGCCCAACCACACACTTGTTCCGCAAATGCAGCTTTCTTAGCCTAAGCAAGCTAAGGCTGATGAGAGAAGTTCCTACCCTTTGACGATTCACAAAATGTGAATTAAATTTTGTATAGGTAGTTTAGCTGAGCAAAAATTAATACTCTTTGTGACAGTAGCTCATATTAGTACCCTCTTTAAACGGGATGTCAAGTAATAAATATTAAAATGGCTTCAAGTTTTGTTCCAGCTTTATCTGGGACCAAATCCTTTTTGCTTTGGTCACTGACTTCACTAGGACTGCTTGTGTGCATCAGGGAAGCAGGATTTGAGCCTCTAGTGAGGAACAGCCTATAGATTTCCAGACACCTGTTTATTTTATTGATGGTCTTACACAGTGCCTGTAACTGCAGTAGCCAAGCATCATTAGAGACTCAATGTTCCCCATAAAAAGGCAGTTCATTTTGTGGAACATACGTAAGAGGTTTGCAGCTCTTGCATTCATTGCTTCCTCTGCAGAAGTAGCTAACCAAACACTATTTCAGAAGCTACACTAAGTCTTCCCCTGGTGAGTGAGTGAATATCCATGGTCTGCCACATTTTAGGGATATTCCCAATCTACCTTAAACTGGCTGGGGACTCGGTATTTCCTGATGTAGCCCTATGGTATGGGCCTGTTCTCCTATGCTCCTTAGGTAGCTATCTCAGCCCTTCCATCCCACTTGCAGGAAACAAAAACCTTCCTTTCTTCCTTCCTTGCAACATTCTATTTCAATCGCTGTCACGATGGGAGGTAGAACCACCCCCATTTTTTAAAGTGATGCCACTTTCTTTTTTTTAAATTATATATAAAATATTATGTAACATCTATTGCTAACTGGTTTTGCATGTCCTGTGATGGAGATCATCACATCATCAATAATAAACTTCACAAAGTGAAGGAAGCACTAAAACAAGTCTCTAATTTTTGTTCCCCATACACTAAACGTGCTTGGTTAACCGGACCTCTTCTATCACACGGCGTAGGCTTTGATGCTGGGTCTGGATCACATGCTGCAAGTGAGAAATCTGTTCTTGTACAGTGAAAATCTCCACTTGAAGATCACGACAGCTGGTGGGGAAAAGACAGATTACCAATAACTTTTTCAGTTGATATTAAGGGGATATATTATTCACAAAAGATCTAATGAGTGACCTGATGTATGCTTTCTGACCAAGAATATACAAACTAGCCATCTGAGCACCAAACTTTTGGGTTTGGCCAAAGTTACATTTACATATGAATTATAAATATAGGCATTAAGATTCCTTTAGTGACCAGATCCAATAATTTGCATTCCACATGGGATTCCAACTCACTGTATTGGCCTTGACTCATATTAGCTGTACGTGAACTAATTTAATTCATGGGTAATAAGCGTAGTCTGATATAAAAGAAGGAAAAATTGTAGTTTATTTCTTACATTATATTTAACTACTATATTCAATTACAGGAAAAACAGCACCAGTCATACTTCATATCGGAAGAATAAAGTTTCGGCACAATATATTGGAGCAATTCTTCAACAGTTCCTCATGGCACATACTGCCAAAGTAACAGTGTACTACGTAGTAAGTTGGGTACGTCTACAGAGCCTGTGGCAGTAAGCCTCCAAACCCAGGTTAACAGACTTGGGCTTGTAGGGCTTGTGCTAACTACATTGAAAGTGCTTTTAGGTTGTGGCTTGGGCTGGAGCTCAGGCTCTGAAGCCTAGGGAGAGAGGTGGGCTTTAGAGGAAGTTGAACTGAATAGAAGATAGAAATTATTAAAATGTATTGTTTGGAAGAGGCCCCAAAAGCCATTAAGATATTAATTCTGGTTAACAGGATGGGGGTTGAGGTGGGTTGAACGGTTTCCTCTCAGCAGGCGAAATCCTGCAATCCGGAATTAACCTCTACTCAGAATTCCTGTTAATTGAACCAAGAGTTTTGCCAGAGTGAGGACAGCAAGATTTGATCTTGTGCCTTCACATGTCAGAGTAGTAGAGAACAATTACTTATTCTCTAAATCAGAGGTGGGCAAACTGCAGTGGCCTGCGGGACCATCCTGCCCGGCCCTTGAGCTCCCCGCCTGGGAGGGTAGCCCCCGGCCCCTCCCCTGCTGTCCCACCTCGCCATGCCGCCAGCGCTTTGGGCGGAGAGCTCCTGCCAGGCAGCGTGGCTGTGAGAGCCGCCGGCCTGCCCTGGTGCTCTAGACTGTGCAGCAGCGTGGCTGGCTCCAGCCAGGTGACACGGCTGCCAGTCCTGGTGCTCTGAGCGGCATGGTAAGGGGGCGGGGAGCGGGGGGGTTGGATAAGGGGGAGGGGGTCCCAGGCAGCAGTCAGAGGACAGGGAGCGGTTGGATAGGCATGGGAGTCCCAGGGGGCATGTCAGGGGGCGGGGGTGCGGATAGGGGTCGGGGCAGTCAGGAGATAGGGAGCAGGGGGGGTTGGATAGGGGGTGGGGTCCCGGGGGGGTGGTCAGGGGACAGGGACCAGGGGGGATTGGATGGATTGGGGGTTCTGGGGGGGCAGTCAGGGGACGGGAAGTGGGAGGGGCAGATAGGGGAGGGGCCAGGCTGTTTGGGAAGACACAGCCTTCCCTACCTGACCCTCCATACAGTTTTGGAACCCCGATGTGGCCCTCAGGCCAAAAGGTTTGTCCACCTCTGGTGTAAATAAACCCAGGTCTAGAAACCCTACTGCACATGTCACAGGAGAATTTATATTCTTCTTTAAAAAGTAAAGACAGTGAAGGCATTAGGCCTAACACCATGTATATATCCACTACGCGGGAGAACTTAGCCAAGTTATTGTTAGGTATTTCACTTGAAATAATCCTTCTGAACAGAAAAAGCATTTCTTCATGCACTATTTGCTCACCTCTTCGTATCTTCAGAGTTTGATAGAAGCTTCTCTTCAAATGACTGCTTTTTTTCTATTAATGTTTTCTTTTCCTAGGGAACAATGAAGAAGTAATAATGTGCACATAATCACTTCATATAAGTTTTGTAACTAATTTTTCAATTACTTTCTGAAAACATACAAAACCACCAGAGATATGTCAGCTGTCAATTTACAGATATACCCTCACCCTCTTGCGAGGATCAGAAGCATCTGTCATCAATGAGAATTGGGTCAGAAAAGGCAAGATTACCAGGGAACAGCTGTGTATTGATTTACAGAGGAAAAAAATTATTTCAATTGGATATTTTTTTTTTTTTAAAGGAAAGCCTGTCAGTAAAGATGATTAGCTTTTTGACTGATATGTGTTCAAAGACACTTTCTGCTCCAGGAACTATACTAAAAGGGCAGTGGTACTTTGCATTGCAAAGATGGATTTGAGGGTCAAGAGATTAAAATTGATTCAACTAGAAAACTTCTTTTTAAGTGACAAATTTTGGTAATCCACATCTAACTGTTTAGTGACCTAAGTACAATAATTCCTAGTTGTAAATTTAAAGAGTACACTAATACATACAGCCACCCCAGGGTGTATCTTCTTAGCCTGTCAGGGTGAAACCCTGACTCTAATGAAGTCAAAAAAAGTTTTACAACTGACTTCAATATGGCAAAGAATTTTAGGCGCAAGAGATATGAGACAAACACATCAACATATAAACCTTGTCTATCTATGGAGCTGCCTGGAAAAGATCCTAGCATGTAGCCGTGAAAATGAAGCTTTGTGTATTCTACCCACAGCCCCTTTCCTCAGCCAGCTCCACAGTGCAACAGATTGTGTGCAGATTTGTAATGCCAAACTACACAGTGCTAAACCATATCTGCTATCAGCCTGGTCAGTCAGATGTGAGGTATAGTAGGCACCTTTGCAAGTTTCAGTGCATGGGGTAAGAAACTGGAGTGGGGTAAGAAAGCCCTGGGCTAAGAAACCTATTGATGTGCATGAGGACTGCCTGAGTGTACCAGAGGGAAGGGCTTGGGAACACCACTGAGAAATGCTTCAGGGGAACACAGTACGGGACAGTATACTCAGGGAGAAAGATGTTCAAAGGTGTATTAAAAATATTGGAAGATGAGTTATTGTGACTGACTCTACTCAGGTGTGCAAAAAGATAGGGATCAGGGAAAATGAGGAGAGGGCACAAGGAGCTGTCCCGCCACTTGGCTGCAGGAGCATAAGCCAACCACATTTCCAGTCCTCCTGAAACTAACCATGAGAACAGGGAGAGAATCTAGCAGCACTGATGGAGTGATGAATGGGGGTTAGGGTGGAGACATGACCCACTTTCCAGCTCCTGTACTGGTGCTGATCTGGCATGGGGGTGGGAGAGTGCACATGTGCCCCTGTTAAATGACATCACAGCAGCCACTCAGAATGAGCTTCCCCCACCCACTTATCTCTAGTCACTCATAATTGCTGGGGGAACTCCCACAGCTACCAAACTCTTCTACTTCCCAATCACAGGCTGCCGCTTAGTTGTGGCAGGAGCAAACCACAGCTTGGCACGACAAGTGACAAAAATGGCCTGAAAGCACATTGCATTTAAATGCTTTTAATCTGACTTTTTGACAGAACTGTATTAGTGATGTGTAATCTTGCTGCATTCTTAATTACTCCAGAACAGATGGTGAAAGTTAAATTTTATGTGATATGGTCATTACAATACCTTTCACTGGCTAACAATTATTTACTACAACTGGAAAGTTGTTCTCTGTAAACACTCACTGCTTCTGCATCAGCTGAGAACTTGGGAAGGATTTTGGAAAGAAATTCACTACAAAGGGGAGGAGATTAATAGCATATTGCAATATACTGTACTTTGACAATGCAAGAATAGGAGTTGAAGGTGTTTCCTCTTAGAAACCAGGACATTTCAAATCTCATAAATTAGGATTAATGTATGGCAGTTAGGTTAAGTAAGTTAATTGATTTAAAAATCTAGTGTCTAAACAACTGAAAGGAAAAATAAAAACCTTACCTCTCATGTCATTTAAAAGGCCTGATGCTCAGCTGATGCAAACTGAGGTAGCATCATTGAAATCCAGGGGGCTTTTATACCAGTTGAGGATCTGGTCCAAAAACTTTTTAAAGTAATTGAACTCTTCTTTATAATTAGATTTCAGCATGAGACTGACAATAAAGAGTGCTTAGGACACGCTTTACACTGTAGTTCTATTACTTAAGAGGTAGGAGCTAATACAATTGAAACTGAGATTTACTGTAGTTCCACAGAGCTTGATACCTTTACTCATAGCACTTGCTGCAGATCAAGTGCAATATGCAAATGAGCAAGGACTGTTCACATGGTTAACAGACTGCAAGGTCAGGCCTCGGTATTGTGCAGCAGATACTAACAAAAGCCACATAATGGCCTAAGAGACAGTGGCCATGATCCTTGCATAGAGAAGACTCCTATTGCCTATCCAGGAACTGCATGACTGGGCTCTATGAGCATACCTCTTCCATTCGTTGCACCAGTTTCTCCATGTCTGTAATCTGGCTGTACTTTTCTTCGAGTCTTTCAGTTACACAATTGACATTTTCTAGATTTTGTTTGAGTTTTTGTTCTTGCTCAAGTTTGGAGGCCTGTGTTTAGAGAAAAATGAAAAAAAAAGCCCAAACCAATGAATGAAGAGGATTTCCATTTTCAGCAAAACCATTTTGCTGCTATTCTTCAATATGTTGCCAGTCCCACAACCCCCCCACCCCCGTGAAAATCCTGACCACTTGTAGTCAAGAAAGATCCATGCTTCTTTCCCCAAGAGTGAGCAGTGAGAGAATAGGGCAAATTCTACACCTTTATTCCTGCCTTATTTTGAGCACTGTACCCATCAAATCTGAGACTGGACATTTGAAGTCAGGAAAAATTAAGCTTTCCTTTTTTATATTGTACTGTAGTTAAAGTTAAGCCTATAAGACAATGGAAGTCTGCATTAGAAGCCCTGACCTACATTTTCAAGAGTGACTCGTGATTTTGGATCCCTCCACATTGGGTGTCCACCTTAAAGGGACCTGGTTTTCAGAATGTGCTGAGCATCCTCTGAAAATAAGGCTCCTTTAAGGAATCATCAGTTGAGCCCACAAAGTTGTGTTTGAAAGAGTTAGGTCTCTATTTATACATCCAAGGTACTGATTTGTCATGTTGACATATGGAGTTGCCAGCATATTGGAGAGAAGGAACACTTGTATCCCTGCATGCTCCAGTGTTTGCCTTTTCCACACATAGGAGAGTGCTGTACCTGCATCAGCAGTTTATCATCTTCATGCTTTTTCTTAAGTTCTTCAGACCGACTGTAGTAATTCTCATATAGACTTTTCGAGGCATGTCTTAGAGACTGTGCACCTGCTTCTCTTGTCGCATCCAGCTGGAAAAAGCCATTGCAATAGGATTAATAGCATATGTCACACTTTAGAAGTTTGGTGTGGAAATCAGGTAGCACACAAATAATGCAGTTGCTATCCTGTTTGAACAACTGTTAGCACCAATTCTTGCAGAACCCCTCCCACCCCCACAAACCCATTAAAATATATGGCAAATAAAATTTAAATTCTAATTTTTGAATAAAGGATGCAGATTTGCCATGTGATACAACAGCCCCTCCTGACTGGAGATGAAGGTTGTGGGTTTAAAATGACTGATACACTTCTGACTGGTTACAAGCACACCTGCTCTAGACCACTGGCTGAGCAGACTTCATGCCAGGAACCACTGCAAGAAAATCCAAGCCCAGAGCACAGCCCAACAAGCTGTAGTTCCCAACAATCAGCTAGTTAAATTCCACCATCAGCTAGTTAAAAATCTATTTCATCCTCATGAGAAAATCTGATGAGACTCTGCAAGGTTACTGCACTTCATGGAGAGGGCAAAGCCACAATGAACAATTGCTTTCCTGCCACTGCTGGAATGAAACTTTAATCCAGGCAAAACTGGATCTTCTCTTCAGGCTGACAAGCTGAAATATGCATTAGAGACTGCTAAAATGGAATGCACCTTGATCTTTAGTATTTCATTCTCCCTGTTGACAAGCAAGAGCTGCTGGTCAGTCTCTTTCAGCTTTTCCATGGTTAGATTGTAGCTGGAGTTAAGCGTGTCCTTCTCAGCCTCCAGCTCATTTCTGGGCACCCGGAAAGGCTGCTAAAAATGAACAAACATGAAAATAATTTGTAAACGACAGCTTTAGCAGACCGAGTTCATGAAGGTAAAGCTGCACTCATCTACCTTCCTATCTCAGGTCCCCACCCTGCAATGAGCTCCAGGCACCCAGGTCTGCATGGTGCTCATTGCAGGATCATGGTCTAGAGTAATTACAGAGCAACAATCACCACAGTTTCTAGGTACTGACTAATTCCCCACCTTCAATATTAAATAAAACAGTGTTCTATTTGTGCAGCTCTCCAGGGTTTTACATTTGAAACACATCATTACCAATACATAACTGCTTTTGGTTCTCCAGAGTGTAACTTCGTACATGAGGTTAATTAATGTTTAGAATATTGCAGCATATGGCGTATTATAGTATTGGGACCAGCAGTGTCGCCAGTTATGAAGGTTGCCTGACACTACCCATTATAAGACCCTCTTTTAGTTGCTTATATTTGCCAGACTTTATTTATTTGGGCTAACATTTTTCATGCCAGGTGTCTCCTTCAGGATGAGTATTTTTGGAATGTTTCTGCCAAAATGGTTCAGCCATTTCAGAATGATGCTAGAGAAAGTCCCTGCTTTGGAGCATAGACTAGAGGGTGGCCTTTGTGTCAGTGCTGTGCCTTTTGATATTCTTCATATCCACCAAAGTTTGGTCAATCGCTAAGCCTTTGAATAATCTTCATTTTCTCATCCTCTGTATAGATCTTAGATCTGGCTAAAATCTCCCAAATTCCATCATCACTGAGCATGCTCCAGCCCCTCACAGCTCCTAGCGCTGACAAGGCTCTGTATGTGCCATCCCCTGAGCATGCTCTCGAGACAGACTGAAGGAGTACAGAGTGTGAAGAGAGCAACTGTGACTGGGGATGAAAGTGGGAGTGGTACTGAGAGCCAGAGGGGAGATGTGAGGCGTTGTGCAGAGAGGTTGGGACTGGGAGCTGCAGGGGAAGGGAAGCCTTTGCATTTGATTTGTCATTTGCAATTTTATGGTTTGCATACCTGATTTTGAATCTTTGCTAGTGTGGATCTGATCTGCAGGGAAGAGATTAGAAATAGGTCACAAAAAGAAAGATGATATTTTCTTGTTAATCTGCCAGGCTAGTTATTCCAGGACATTCTCCTTAGGACAGCAGCAATGTAGAAAAGTTGCCTTTGGGCATGATCACCATTCTGCTCTTTTGCTTGGATACTAGAAATAAAGCATCTGTCCTCAACAAGCCAAACCGTATTGTCCAAGAGATCTCTAATGCAGAAATGGATGCACGGAATTTAAATATTTATTTTAGTGACAGGATCAACATACTTTTCATTGACTCAAAAGAGGGCCTAAGTCTCACACTTGTTTCAAAAATTCATTTCTTCCTCAGATATTGTATCATGAATATGACTTAGGATCATAATTTTGTAATTGGTACAAAATTCTCATAGTGGCGTTCTGACAAGCATTTGGTCTGCTCCCTCATATGACTCATTATAAAGACAGATGTGCATACCCCAATTAAATCCTTGTCTCAAACTGATCAGTGTTCCTTGAGGTTTTGTGTTAGACTCCATTATAATGGTATTAGGCCAGATAGAGTTTAAGGGACAGTGAAATGTGAATTTCCTCAGTAAGTCAACACACACTTGTTTAGCTTGGAAAATTTAGACAGTGTAGAAGGATTCAAATTTTTTATTTTCTTACTTGCAATGGGTTGTATTCATTGTTCTCCTCCAAATCAGAGGACAAGACAGCACAATAAGAATAATGAAAAAATTGTACCTTTTTTATGTATTCTGTTTCGTCAGTGATTTGGACAGAAGAAGATCCATAAAGGACATAGTTTCCTTCCATCCCTTGGTCATCTCTTGTTACGTGTTCTGTGAGCCTCACTGTGGCACTCATTATGCGTGCATTTCACTGCTCTGTATAGTTGGGAGAGAAGTGGATTTTGTCTTTTATTTATACAAATATCCATAGAGAATGAACTTAATTTTGTAAATGCATCTACATGTCCATTGCATCATTAACAACATATACAGTAAGGCTCATATTAGACAATTAAATGCCTTTCAGACAGCTGCAAATATGACCTTGTGCATAATTTCCGTATTTTAAAGGACCTCGCAAGTCTTCAAGATGTGTTACTTCCCCACCCCCCAATTTACTTAAGGCAGTCCCCCATCCAATTGTTGCATCTGAATGTACATTCAAATATGCTACAGCATATAAGATATCAATAATTTTTTATTGGCAATCCAAATAATTTCAGTGTAAGTATTTGCTTATTCAAAAGTATTGTTTCACCTGTCACTTCATTCCACACCCCAGAACTGGTCATATTCAATGTTATAGGAGTTCCTGTCTCTGCCATCTTACTCAGACTGAGTAACGCTGTACTCCACAAGTAGTTGCATTGATTTCACCAAGACTATGCAATGTAAGAGTGGCAGAGTCAGTTCCACAGAAATCCATGGGACTACTCACACTGAAGGGTAAACCCCTTTGAAATCCCTCCTGGCCAGGGGAAAGCTCCTCTCACCTGTAAAGGGTTAAGAAGCTAAAGGTAACCTCGCTGGCACCTGACCAAAATGACCAATGAGGAGACAAGATACTTTCAAAAGCTGGGAGGAGGGAGAGAAACAAAGGGTCTGTGTCTGTCTATATGCTGGTCTTTGACGGGGATAGACCAGGAATGGAGTCTTAGAACTTTTAGTAAGTAATCTAGCTAGGTATGTGTTAGATTATGATTTCTTTAAATGGCTGAGAAAAGAATTGTGCTGAATAGAATAACTATTTCTGTCTGTGTATCTTTTTTGTAACTTAAGGTTTTGCCTAGAGGGGTTCTCTATGTTTTGAATCTAATTACCCTGTAAGGTATCTACCATCCTGATTTTACAGGGGGAATTTCTTTATTTCTATTTACTTCTATTTTTATTTAAAAAGTCTTCTTGTAAGAAAACTGAATGCTTTTTCATTGTTCTCAGATCCAAGGGTTTGGGTCTGTGGTCACCTATGCAAATTGGTGAGGCTTTTTATCCAACATTTCCAAGGAAAGGGGGGGTGCAAGTGTTGGGAGGATTGTTCATTGTTCTTAAGATCCAAGGGTCTGGGTCTGTAGTCACCTAGGCAAATTGGTGAGGCTTTTTACCAAACCTTGTCCAGGAAGTGGGGTGCAAGGTTTTGGGAAGTATTTTGGGGGGAAAGACGTGTCCAAACAGCTCTTCCCCAGTAACCAGTATTAGTTTGGTGGTGGTAGCGGCCAATCCAAGGACAAAGGGTGGAATATTTTGTACCTTGGGGAAGTTTTGACCTAAGCTGGTAAAGATAAGCTTAGGAGGTTTTTCATGCAGGTCCCCACATCTGTACCCTAGCGTTCAGAGTGGGGGAGGAACCTTGACAGGCTCACTTTGAGTAAGTGGTAAGACTGGACTCAGCGTTGTAGCATTCCACAATATGAGTTTTTTCATGGCAGTGGGAGAGTCACAAATCAAAACGCTTTTTTCTTAAGCACGGGAAAACTGGATTTACACACCAAGAACGAGGTCCCAACCTGCTTGCAGTTATGTTTCTGTGGTACAATGGTGACATCCAGTGTCAGTTGGATTAATCTCAAGTGAACATGTATATAAACAGCATATCTCAGACGATATGCATACATTGCACTCCATTTGCCATATATAGAATCAGATTAATGTATATATTTTTTAAGTCAGGTTGTCAAATGTCTGTTTGGAGTATCTGAAATTAATTAACAATTGCTCCTGCAACAATAAGATCCAATTGATCTGTGCAATGTTTTATTAAGGTTTAAAACATTAGCGGAGGAAGAGGAAGCAGTAGACATAGAGTGAGGTTTTTCCAAAGTTTACAGCTTATTTTTGGGTTTTGTACTTTAAATAATCACATTTTAAATGAGATTTTAAAACACAAAATGTCAATTTAATAAGAACTTATGGTTGCTTCCATTTAACTCAGCAACAACAATCTGATTCCTGTGCTACACGAGGTTTTGGCCTACAGCATCAGCCCTTGTTTATTCATCCCAGACTAAAATTATTGCCTTACTAACAGGAAGTACCATCAAGTCAGCACATTTAATTAATTAAGGCATTTTCTCATAAAACCCAATTAGGCCATTTGAAACTGTTAATGCTGTAATAAATTAGGAATGTCACCACCACCATGAGCACATGGACCTGGCTTGCACATTTTGCTAAAAGAATCATCAGCAACTAATCCAGGCTACAGAAGTTTTAACTTTCATATACTTCAAGTACACATCTCAGGCAGAAAACAAAAATAGAGAAACTGTAATTTCTTTAACATATGAGCTTTGGGTGCTCTTTTTAAAAACTGGAGTCTTAAATTTTTGTAAAGTTTACAAAATTACAAATCCAGCAATTTCAAGTCACTCCCTTGCCAACAATCAAGGAAAGTGAACAAAGAACTCACCATTACCACCTCACAATTTTTCCCCACTCACCCAAAAGTTGGGATCATAGACAGACATTTCAGAGTGTCCTGAATGTCAAGGGATTTGGACTATTTTAGACAGGAGTCTGGGAGTGAGTCCCAAACATGAGGGGTCCAAAGTTGAAAAAGACTCACCAGCAGCCCCTTTCTTATAAACCAAGGAAGCTCCGCTGATCACAGCTGCACCAGTACTGATAGTGAAAGATGTTTACTCAAACAGATGGGTTATAAACACTTGATTGCTTTTGACCCATAGAACAAGATCTTAAACTTCTCCAGGAGACTACCAAGCAGTCAGTGAAGATCATGGCATGGCAAGAGACAACACAATCAGTGGACTGCCAAATTCAATACCTGCTTTAGTTCACAATGGTCTTGAACAGGCATAGCCTCATGTGGCTCTCACAGCCGATGTCTAACCTCAAGGTGACAAAACAATGACCAGCAGCACTGAGGCTTGCATCCAGCAACAAAATTCACAACCTTCTGGCTAGAATCACATGAAGAGGAGTATCATCCTGACCACTGCTGCCACCTAAGAGTAGCTGGAAATCTAACCATATCCCTAGATTTTTGTCAACACAAACAAGAGGAGGACAGAGACATACCATGGTCTAAGAGACTAAAATAATCCCAGCCATGTCTTGTAGCTGCTTCCCCAGTCAACATTACCTTAGTTTTATCCAGATTGAGTCTTCCCAGGTTAGCCCTCATGTATACCCCAATCTTACCAAAATACTGGGAAAGCACAGCTTTGCCTGGGTTGGACAGAATGGTGAGAGACATCTGCATATCACCAATATACTGAAGACTCATGTCTCCTTACTAACCCTTCTAAGGGTCCCATGTACACATTCCACAGGGAACACAAGACAGAACCCTATGGAACCCCTTATACGAACACCATCAGAGAGGAGGAAAACTTGTCCTCAAAAATTAGTTGTGAATGATCATCATGAATGGAGCAACCCCAAAAAATAGCTTCCTCCATTCCTACTGTGGTCCAGAGGTGTGTTCAACACCACCTTGCAATCAACAGTACTCAAGGCGCTGATAGATTAAATAATGCCAGCTTGGACACTGCCACTTCATACATAGCAAGCAGGAGACCATCTACCAATGCAACCAGCCTGGTCTCCAAGTCATTAAATATGTGACAGAATATATACCTATGTTCACACCCTACATGCTATTAGAATCATAAAATATCAGGGTTGGAAGGGACCTCAGGAGGTCATGTAGTCCAACCCCCTGCTCAAAGCAGGACCAATCCCCCATAGTTGCCCCAGATCCCTAAATGGCCCCCTCAAGGATTGAACTCACAATCCTGGGTTTAGCAGGCCAATGCTCAAGCCACTGAGCTATCGCTCCCCCCACCTTTCTGGTTATCAGGGAATAAGGTACAGATTATCAAGGGGTGCGAAATTTGCTTTAGGAACGGGTGGCATAAGGAATACATAATCTGCAATCTCCCCGATTGGGGAGAAAGTTTAACCGGTCAAAGTACAGACATTGAGATATGGGGGTATGTTCAGGTATGGAGTATAATGAGTGGATACGATGATGGGGATGGATCTACCCTCATTTGGTGGGATTTAATGTTCAGTGAGTTTATGGTTCCAGTTCATATGGTCCAATGGAAAAAGCCTCTCAGTCTCTTTCCCATAGTGGATGCACAATGTCGTACCGGCTCACACCTCCTGGTACTGTCGGTGGCTGGTGATGTGTTCGATTGTAATAGTGTTTGTCCAAGGTGCACCTTATGAGTTTTTGAATGACACCTCACAATTTGCTGATCAATAATATCATGGAAAAATGCACATAACAGTGTTATATGTGAAGTTATAAAAAAAAGCTGAGATCTTGACCAAAAGCATGTTTTCCAGATAAATCTGGTGAGTGGCCAAACTAGTTCCTCAGAGACAAAGAGCAAGATGATGCCTCTGCCAGATGTAAACAAGCCTGATGGACCATTACCTGCTAAGTGACCGTTCTTTGGTAGGAAACGGGGGAGGAACAAAAAAAAAAAAAAATCAATCTACATCTTAGCAAACAAACAGAATGGAATGTCCTTCCACACAGACTGTCTGCCACCTTGCTCCCAGCTGGAAATATTTTTCAAGAGGGGGACTGAAATTATAAAAAGCAGGGGCAAATACCCCAAGACACCCCTTCTCTCTGCCCATCACATTCTCTGCACCTTCAAAAATAAAGGAAGCAGCCATTGGACTCTGGAGGAGGGGTCCTGACCTAAAGAGTTTGGTCAGTAAGACTGCTGGAAGCATGTGGTGAGAAAACTTTGCAGGCATTTTATCTTTATTTTTCTTCTAACGATTTCTGACATTTATGCCTCATTGCTTATATTCACTTAACAGGTCTCTTCTGTAGTTCATTAACTAATTTTACTGTTTTATCTAATCCAGTGTGTTCTAGTTGAAGTATCTGCATAACTCCATTTGGGGGTAACAGATTATTCCCTTAAAGGAATAACAGACTTAATATATTTGTAATGTCTAGGAGAGGGCTGGGCAGTACAGGACATAAATTTCTGAGGGGAAATCTCAGACTAGGGGTGTGCTTGGGTCACCCTGTGGTAATCTTTAAGGCTGATAAGAGCCAGGGTGTGGCTTGCTGGCTGCAAAACACACAAAGACATGGCTGGGGGCGACTTACATGTTGGAGGCCGTTTGTGAGCAGTCCACGTTGGAGGCTGCAGCAGCAAGGCATTGTAAAAAGCACACCAGGTTACAGGGAGGGGTGACACAGCTACTCATTGGTCTGGATTGTACCCTGGTATGTCACACCATGGAAGGTATTCAGTTTGACAGAGTCCAGGAGGAGAGCTAAATCACCTAGATACACAGAGCTGCACCTCTGAAAAGCAGGTCATAGGTTCTTTACACATCTAAGAAATCTTCACACTACACAAGAATTTCTGTACGGTCATTCCAATACCATGGTAAAGGACACAGCATAAGATCCTTAATAGAACTGTACTGACCTTGTAATGCCAACAATTAACATGGCACCACTAGTTTGTTAAATATCATTTTTGAAGTGACATTCTATTACGTTTTAAAGCATGTTAACAGAATTAAATGATACAGGGAACTTGATTTCCCCCCCCACACACACACACTTTATGCAGCTCAGAGCTTGGGAGTAGAAAGAAATTCACTTGTCTTACACTCAGAAAGCAGAGTCTAAAGGGCATGACATTCGTGGAGAAATCCTTTGGCACGCTGGGTAGATGCCAACTTGTGTCTGACATGGGTGTTCTACTGCAATATTCTAAAATTGCCACTTGTGAAGTAAGTTACATTTTCTCTGTCAGCTTTGCAGCTGCCAGGTGTAACAAGCGAGGAAACATCTGTATTATAGTTTGTGAATAAGGTGCATGCTTTCTGTGTTTATGATGGGTTACTTGCTATGAATTAGATCCAAAGAGCTTGCTATGGGAACCAAACAGAAAGGCAATAAAATGGCCCAGATAAGGAGCATCCCAACACTCAGACTCAACAGCCAGGTTTAATTACAGCATGATGAGGCAACTCCACAGCCCCAATCCTGGCGACAGATCTGTTTTGCCACAGCAGAGAAGAGAGCTCAATGGGACACTAAACCATCACGTGTCCCTGAAGTGAAAGGGTTTACAAGAGCCAAACGCAGCTGGGCCTGTTGAGTTAACACAGTTGGGAAAATAGGGAGCTGACACGCAGAGAGGCAGTCCCAGAATGGATGAACCACGCAGTTCCGCCCAGTTGGAGGGGCAGCAAGCCCAGCCTGTCACTTAAAGGTCCACTTGAGAAGGACTAAAAGGGTCCAAAGCACTGTTCGCCATAGAAGCGTGACAACTAGCTCCTTTACTATAAACATCTTTTCAGAATAGGTCCTATAAAAGTAGAAATATCTATTCTGTGTCATAGTTTGATTCTTCTTTTCACACTCTGCTATTACCTGCTATGAAAATCTCTTTTACATGATTAGCTTTAAGGTCTAGGGCAGAGGTGGGCAAACTGCGGCTCATGGGCCACATCCGGCCCGCAGGACCCTCCTGCCCGGCTCTTGAGCTCCCGGCCGGGGAGGCTAGCCCCCAGCCCCTCCCCCGCAGCCTCAGCTCGCCGTACCACCAGCACTCTGGGCAGCGGGGCTGCAAACTCCTGCTGGACAGTGAGGCTGTGAGAGCCGCCAGCCTGCCCTGGTGCTCTGAGCGGCATGGTAAGGGGCGGGGGGTTGGATAAGGGGCAGGGGATCCCGGGCAGCCGTCAGGGGGCAGTTGGATGGGGTGGAGGTTCTGGGGGGGGGGGGCATTCAGGAGACGGGAAACGGGGGGGGGGGGGGGGGTTGGATAGGCATGGGAGTCTCAAGGGGGCCTGTCAGGGGGCAGGGGTATGGATAGGGGTCGGGGCAGTCAGGGGACAGGGGGGGTTGGAAATGGGGTCGGGTCCTGGGGGAGTGGTTAAGGGCAGGGGGTACCGGGAGGGGGCGGTCAGGGGACAAGGAGTGGGGAGGTGGTGGATGGGTCAGAGGTTCTGAGGGGGGCAGTCAGGGAGCGGGAAGGGGCAGATCAGGGGCAGGGGCCAGGATGTTTTGGGGGGCACAGCCTTCCCTACCTGGCCCTCCATAATGTTTCAGAACCCTGATGTGGCCCTCAGGCCAAAAAGTTTGCCCACCCCTGGTCTATGGGTTGGCTGGTTCATAGTTATTTTAAAGGGCAGCAATGAATTTGAGTATCCAAATTGGATTATTCAAAGTTAATCTTCAGACAACCAGCATGAAGCAGACACATATTTTCCACTTGGTTGTAAACTCTTCTCAGTACAGAATAGATTTGAATGCTACAAGTTAGAATTGGATGACTGCAATGCAGTGTTTGCATACATTAATTTCAATGATGAGTAGCTATTTGATTCAACAATATTCAGTAAAAATGTATTCACCTTTTAATTTGCTATTCATGAATATCTTTGGAAAGTTTCTTGAGGTATTTTGTTCTCATGAATGTTTGAGCAATAGTTTGTATGAATACCTGTACTTACATGTGAACGTGGCTATTTGTGCTCAGGGAGGAATGTTTACTGTTCATTATTCTCCAATATAAAAGGGTTCTCTCATCCAATCACAGTACAGAAACAGTATCAGATGATGCTGGTTGTCAATCATACAGCACAAATATAACTGCAAATAGTCAAAGGGAACAATTCGCAAACAACCCATAAACTGAAAAATTGTTCATCTGAGTTGTTTGGCAAATATATTTATAGAACTCAGGATAAGTTTATGAAGAATATGTGTACTGCTAAATGAGCTAGATTCACTGGATAATTTATTTACAATAAATAGTTCAGGCAACTATCATACTAGAGTATTTTCCCCATGAAAATATAATCAGCTATTTATTTTACTCTTTACTAAAAGCACATGTGCATGGGGGTGTGAGTGGGCAGGGGCACGGGGGACAAGACACGCCTGGATTTTTCAACTTAAAAAAAAAAACACATGCAAATATTTACTTTTCCATTACCAGAGACACACAGCAAACATTAAGGGGTCTGCAATGCCGATCCCTTTCTCACATAGACAGTGTTGTTGTCACCATGTTGGGCCTCAGATATTAGAAAGTCAAGGTGAATAAGGTCATATCTTTTATTGAACCAATTTCTGCTGGAGTGAGAGACAAGCTTAAAGCTAGAAGAGCACTGTGTAGCTCGAAAGCGTGTCTCTCCCCTCAACAGAAGCTGGCATTCAATAAGAAGATATATCCTCACTCACCCTGTCCCTTTCTCACGTTAGTTACTAGTATTAGTGTTACTCACAGGAGGGTCTGAACAAGTAAAGGGTTGGGAGGATGGGTCCCTAAATGACAGTGAAGCACTCTCATTCTCCACCAACAAGCTCTGCTAAATTTCACACACACCACCACCCTCACTTTGTTCACATTTCTAATCTCCTGCATGTCACACATTTAAACAGCCACAGCATTCCTGCCCAGGGAGAGCGTGCAAAACCCCAAAGGGCTTCAAGTGAGCTGTAGCTCACGAAAGCTCATGCTCAAATAAATTGGTTAGTCTCTAAGGTGCCACAAGTACTCCTTTTCTTTTTTGCGAATACAGACTAACAGGGCGGCTACTCTGAAACCTGACTGAGAGAGGAAACCCTATTGCTAAGTCTCGTGTTATGCAGTGGCATCCAAGCCGTGCCCAGTGTTTTCCATCCAGCCCCCAACCTAGAGAGCTGGCATAAAAAGCAGATCATGAGTGATAAAAATCAGCTGAGTCCTCTCTACCCAGCTTCCACACCTGCGCATTTCCAGCCTCAAATGATCAAGCCCCTGAATCTCTAGGGACGGGAAGTGGCAGGCAGCCCTTTCCCTTGTTCTCACGGACCCGGGGAAGGAGGGGCGACCAGCCCCTGGGCGCTCTGTAGGGGCCCTGAAATGCCCCTTTCTCCTCCCCAGCTCGCTGGCCTCCTTACCTGCTCTCTTCGGCTCTCTCCGCTCCCTTGCTCCTCTCCCGGGCGCTCACGTCCGGGGACGGTGCAGTCCGGACCTGGCCCCGCCCCGCCCCTCTCTCCTCCTAGCAGCAGAGGCTGGAGCCCATGGGAGAGAGGAACTCGGCCCAGTTTCCCTCTGTGGTTGACTTGTAAACACAGGAAAGGCAGGGCACTTTCAAAGTCCATTGCCAATGAGTTAACCAGGTGAGAGTGTCAGAGCAGCAAGTGAAGCCATTGGTTTTTAAAAATATTCAACGCTGCCCCTTTGTAAGATTAACAATCTCTCTTGGCAAACGTACTGCGAGGCAGGGCAATTTCTTTTTCACTAACAGCCTCCCTACAGCTCTGGAGTGACAAATAGTCTTATTTTGTTAACGTGGCTTTGTCAAGCATATATAAATCACTACACACCAATGATGACTGTGCAGTGCATTTCCAGAGGGTTAAGAACCATCTTGGATGAAAGCCACAGCTCCAGGTGTGCGAAAGCCAAAATCATTAACTCCAGTCGTCACTAACTACTTCATGGCTGCCTAATGTGCCAGGGAGTTGGGGCAAAATGCAATCCCACAGCCCTTTGAAGTTGCATTTAAGACTATATGAGGGCTCAGTTGCATTCCATGGCAAGGAACACTCGGCAGGGACTTGAGATTAGTGTTATGTATCTTGTTGTTGCTGAGCTCTGGGACAGGGGAAGGAGTATGAATCTCTTTTAAAGGGAGGGGCTGTTTCAATTGATCTGTACAGGGATTTTCTATTACCTGGGCCCCAAACCTGCAATGTGTTCCATCCAGCATAAGACTCTACTCACACAGGTCTCATTGCAGCATTCGGATTTGAGGTTTTAGCTTTCAAAGAGCTGTCCTGAAGCCCAAAGTGTACATGAATATGTACACTTCTCTTGAAATTGTAGGATTTAATGCCCTGCACATCAGCCAGTCAGATGGCTTCAGTCATCTTTCCACACTCCATTTAACTAAGAATGGGCCATCTGACCAAACAGCAATGAGGCCCTAACATAGTAGTACTTGAAATAGTCTGTGAGGATACCTATCTTAGGTATAAGTGGATCAGACTAGAATTGGAGGACTGCTGTAGAATCATCTAAAGAATCAACATTTTTAAGACTTACTGACTCCCACACAGTTTTTGAACATGACTCTTCTTAAAAGACAGCTCCTTTAAACACAAAAATATCCAGAATCCAAATGCCTCTTTCCAGCAAAATAAGCGATCTTGAGTGCCCAATGTGCAATTACACAGGAACAGGTATTTCAGCAGAGACCGGAATGGGTTCTTATAATAACTCTAGAGCCCTCATAACAAACAAGAGGCACAGGAGGGCTGTGAAATACCCTAAGTAAGGTTAAGGGCTCAAGCTTAGTGCTGGGTTCATTGGTCTTTTTCATCACATACTGTATTGAATCAGCTACAGTGAAGCTGGTTTTCTAAGATATACAGTGATATAAGCTTATGTATAAAAAGTCAGACTGTAAATTCATAGATTCCAAGGCCAGAAGGGATCATTGTGCTCATCTAGTCTGATCTCCTGTATAACACATGCCATAAAACTTCCCCAAAATAATTTGTAGAGCAGATCTTTTAGAAAAACATCCAATCTTGATTTAAAAATGGTCAGTGATGTAGAATCCACCATGACCCTTGGTAAATTGTTCCAATGGCTAATTACTCTAACCATTAAAAATATATGAAATTCCAAATTCTAGCCTCAATTTGTCTAGCTTCAACTTCCATCCATTGGATTGTGTTATACTTTTCTCTTTTAGATTGGAAAACCCATTATTAAATATTTCTTGCCCAGCTAGATACTTATAGACTGAAATCAAGTCACCCCTTAACTTTCTGTTTGTTAAGGTAAATAGATTGAGATCCTTGAGTCTGTCACTATAAGGCTCGTTTTCTAATCCTCTAAGGTTTCAACCCTTGTATTGCTTTTCAATGGATTTAGTTCTAAATCTTGCTGTCCAAAGGCTCCATTTCCATCTAAGTAAGCTATAAAATGTCAGAGTCAACTCCACAAATCATTAAGAACTGGACTGAGACCACGGATATGTATAATATAGAGCACACTCTGTGTAAAATCTGATTTAGCTGATTTAGCTCTAAATTTGCAGGAGTGTGTCAAATGGAAAATCACTAGGAAAGAGTTTAAAATATGAGAAAACCCCACACACACATATTAGTGTCAAAATGCAGGGGAAATGAACCTGTATACCCCCTTGATGGTCTGCCAAGGCACTGACTCCTCAAACATCACCTCTTTTGGATAAAGACTCACGTCTCTCTCCCTCCTGACTGGGTTTTTTTCAGGCTGCACACTTCGCTGACTACACTGTGATATCCCCAGCAAGCCAGTGTCTGCATTTTGCTCTTTCTGAAGGCTATGAACAGCTATAATTGCCAGCAGTCACAAGTTACCACAGAGATCGTTATAAGCAAGCACATTTATTTTTAAGGTGAAAGCATTACAGCAAAAACATAATAAGAACAATAAAAGAACTTACACACATGCTAATAAGCTCACCAATTCCAACTCTGGGCTCTGGTAGCTGTCAATCCTTCAAAACCTACAGCTGGGTTTTTCCAATGGTTTCAAGTTCAAAACTGTTCTGGTTCAAAACCAGAACAACCATGAATACTTCAGTCTTTCCTTTATACAACTTGGGCCTTTGAGCTTGATTTCATATAACACGTGATCAGCAGACATAGCTTCAAAAGGCTAAGTTTTTGCATAGGTGGAGAATTTGCATTAACCTCCCCTTAGGTATTTTCCAGGAAATCCACTTCACACAGATTGTCCTAAAAGTCCATTCTTGTCTGTCACATTGTCCTTTGATTGCCCAGGCCGTACATCATATCTCCCTCCCAGAGAGGTTGCATACAATTCTGGCCCATAATAATCCAAACATTTTGCATTTAGTATAATGGACCCCAGAGATACTTCAACTTCATTCAGTAAGATTTTTCAAGGAAATTACCATATCTGTCACAATTAGGAACTATCCTCTTTAAAAAAATCATTCTTATACAAGTTACAAGAACAATTTATTGAAATGCAAGTGAACTACAGGTGAACTTATTTATTGCACAGGAAAGCCCTTTGAAATAGAGGAGGAAAGTTCTTTTATGATAGGATTATATGGATTAATCACCAGAGGAACATAAATGGAGGTGGACAAAATGTTCTTTTAGTCAAAACTTCTGGGGTAAAGGATTATGACAAATACAGAGGCATGTTTTGGAGAAGAAGGGGTGAAGACTATAGCCTTGGCATTGAGTGTAAATTTCAGAAGAATATTGAAATATCTATGATACACAAACATTTCCTTTCCTTGCATAGTCAAAAGCTATCTGTTTCTGCCTGTTAGCTAAATCTGATCACATGACCATGTGCATCTGTCTTCTGGGTTTAACTGGAGGCCCTCTAGGTATAATCTATTGGTTTTGGAAGTTCAGATTTAAATCTTAATTAGCATTTGGTATTACATCACTTTTTAGGTCAGACCAAGGTAGTAATTTCTTTGGTGAGAAGTACAGCTGTTAAAACAAAATACATTCCTTTTTGAAAACCAATTTTGGCTGACTCATGTTTCTTCCGGTCCTAGTACATAACATGAATATCAGTCTGTATTATTCTGGAATGCCCACTTCTTAATGGATCCCATCGAATGCATACCTACTACTTGTTTTATCCTTCAAATATCACAGATAATGGCATCATTTAACCATAACTATACTCCAAATAACAGAGCTGAAGCCAATCTTTCTGAAGACCCTTAAAAGGGCAGTTCCTTCCAGCAGAGTTCTCTGCACAACAGTTAAATAGCTATTTTTATTTACCCACACATCCACAGAAAAATGTTCTTTAGCTAAAGGATTCATGTTAGAATTACTTCGATAACAGGCAGCCGACATTTTGGCATCAGACTGGTTTAACAGAAACCGTACATGGACTGCCCTCACATGAAATAGTTCACTGGACCTCAATCCAAAGGGCAAGAAAAGGCATGAGAGAGAGCAAATATATTGTATGGCCGTGGCCCCCTGTATAACCACTCTTCCACCTAATTAAATCCTTCAGGAAAAAGAGGAGTAAAGAGCACTACAGAATAAATTCCACTGTGGTAAAAAAATAATTTAATAAATAGTACTCAGAGCTGCATGCAGAACACACACACACCATTGAGTTTATTCATGCTCCTGGCAGGAGTTACCTCTGTGCAGGACTGCTCCCAAGCGGAACAGAATCATGCATTAAGGGCCAGATTCTGGCATCCTCCTTGATAGTTTCAGCGCTAGCCTCCCAAAAGGAGCCATGATACAGCAGGCTGGGTGTAAAGAGGATCACCTGTTGCCCTCTTCCTAAGGGTGGAGATTCCCGGCTTCATCGTGCATGCCATGAAGGATTCTAGCTGACTCAGCTCGGATTGTGCCTGAAGTTCCCAGTTCAGCATTATACCAAGTTACAGTTTAAAGGCACAATTCAGCCATTCTGCTACATCTATAGCTGATGAATGTGTCCACCTCTGTGGGATTTTGCCAGCCTCCAAAAAACATCCAGACACTCAAATGTTAGTGTGTGTCAAATGGTGTCAGAGCTACTGGAAGGAAAATGTATTGTGGCAATTGCTCTTACACACACATAAATATTGTTTTGTGACTGCCCATTTGCCCCAAAGGAAGTAACCTAAATTGTTAAAGCCGGGTGTTGAAACTAAATAGTAACAATTCTTCAACAAGGAGTAAGAGACAGCAATTTTGCTTCAAGTGTTTAATAGTCATCAGGGAAGCCTGGTAATTAATGTTTTGCTTTAATTATACAGTACTGTTCCTGTCAATGTCTTTTTTAAGATAAGAATTTTGTTGCAGGGGTAACTTGGGTGAGACTGAAAAGGCTGCTGAGTTCTTCTGATCCTGCCCACACAGAAAACATAATGCTAACAGAAGAATGAAGTCCTGATTCTTCCTATACTGTATAAAAGGCATCCCAATTAAAAAAGCCATTAACCATTGTTAGAAAAAGTCTGCTTACTCCTGACTAAGTGGGCACCTCTCTGGATGTTTCTT